CTAACTAACCCACCCTAAGCTGTCCTACGCCAGCGTCCCTAACTAACAAACCCTAAGCTGCCCTATGCCAGCGTCTCTAATGAGATTGCCTGCTGTTGGATCACACCAGATGGGCCCAGGTGACATTATGCTCCAAGTCCTTTCTGGTGGCATCGCCAACAGTAACCACAGTGACAGTGTTTGGGATTCAGTCACTCAGCTCACACTGGCCTTTTCTGAGGCTGACTGGCAGCCTGCTTCCCTGCCCAACTGTGTGGCCAACTCTGTGCCTGTCAGCTGATCTTCAGAGCTTCTCTTAGCTGAACTATATCCTCATCTAGTCTCTTTCCCTCCCTCAACCCTGTCTTTGGAGAGCACCCTGTCTGGCACTCCACTTCAGGATGCCACCAGTGCAGGCAGGCAAGTAGGTTGCTTGAGTCCAAACCCAGGGTAGCCCTCAGGGTGAGACAAGACCATGCTCATGGAGAGATGAGGGTGCCCAACTGACAGCACAGGTCTCCACAGAGGTCAATCCACGGGGGGAGGGGCACCTAGGCAGAGTTCCAAAGACGTAAATGAGAAGCAAAGCAGAAGGCTTGATGCAGAAGGACAGGAAATATCCTTCAGGCCAGAGCTTTGGCTGAGGGCCAAGGGAGGCTGCTCCCAGCTTTCCCACAAGTAAATACTGGGGTCCCTGCTACGAAGACGTCAGAAATGACAGCCTCTTGGGAACAGAGAATTCAGGAGAGGCAATCTATGCCTTCAGGTGTTTCCCAACCAGCTGGGTACTTTCAAATGTAGAGTTCACTGGCTCCAAGAAATCCTTTTTCAGGGAGCTGGGACAAGGAAGGGCTTAATTCACCTTAAAAGTTGTTGAGACAGATTCTTTGGCAAGCACATAGCCCATGTTGAGGATGTTGCCTTCGATGGAGCACGTAATCATGGATGCCACACCTGTGCCAGTCAGGGTAAGGCTGAGAGTGCCTCTCTTGGTGATGATGTCCAGGATTTCTTGAACCTAAGGAGATCACGTGCTTTAGCAAAGAGCAGACATAGGAACTCTGCCGTGAGTAGCTGGCAGGTAGCATTGTGGCCCTGAGATGGCCTGAGGATCTTTGCCTCCACAGACTTGTTGACAAGAGCTGGCTCAGAAAGACAGACTGCTTTCAGGCTCTTGCTGATCACCTGGGCCTGAGAACACAGTGGTATCTGACTGCATCACCGTCCTTCAGCGGGGGGGTCTCGGGGGGCCGGAATCCCGGGGGGGGGGGGCTGCACAGTCCTGCAGTGTGGGGGTCTGGGGCAGCAGTACTGCCTGGGGGCTGCACTCACCAGCATGCTCTCACGGGGAGAGAAGGACAGTACCAGGGTTTGTGACTCGCCAGAACACAGCTTCCTGGAGGGGTTTATCAGGACAAAGGGGCCATTGGGGCTCAGCACTGAGAACTCCAACTAAGGACTGAGTATCAAGGATGAATATAGTATTTTGCAGGCTCTGCCACGCACCGCACTCCTGTCTCCAACCCTGGAAGCTGACTCACTGAGCACGGATAAGGATACAGCAAGGTCCTCAGGAGAAGTGTTCTGGAGGGTGATCCTCTTTATACTTCGATGCCCTGGAATGTGGCAAAGTCAGGTTACAGATCCTAGACCCCTAAGGAGCATCTGTTTCTACAGCAAGGTCAGGGAGCAGCTGGTGAGAGTAGCAGATATGTTCTCAGGAGAAAGGGCTGTCAGTGGAGAATTAGGACTTACCTACAGCAATGTCACCAAAGTTAAGGACACTACTGCCTTTGTTGGATGTCACCACAATGGATGGAGCCACTACTGGACACCATAGTTCCAGATATAGAGTATTATGGGGGCTAGAGGCAGGACAAGGACAAACAAGGGCAGATTAGGGTGACCCTGTCTCCCAGGCCACAGACCCGACCAACAGTAGAGGAGGGACAAGGGTCACACCCCATCCTGTCGCAAGAACTCCACACCTGAATCTCAGAGGTTCCAATGCCTTCCTGTCTTTGATGTCACCACTGGCAACAACACAGGGGACCACAATCCTGTCAAACTTCCCCTGGAAGGATCTGGCCAAGCTGGCTTGTGCAGCTTGGTATTCAGGGGAGCTGGAATGAAACCAACAACGTCCATTCATGTATGTACCTCATGACCTCGTAGGCTCTGCCCCTAGAGTACTCTGAGTGGGACCAGACCTTCCACGTCTTTGATGCTCATGCCCACTCTCTAGGACTCTGGGCTCAGGTGGACTCTCTGGGCAAGGTAAAAGCATTAAGAGGCAGAGCTCAGGGCTACCATGGGTCCAGGTGGTGGCCACACCAGTTTTGTTTGATAGACTAACTTTCCCACCCTTCTTTGGCTCCTGTAGGGACCTTCTTCCCCACTGCAGGCCCTGGTCATCCAGAAAGAGGGAGTAAATATCTCCATCACTTCCACAGGGACAAGTCCTGGGCTGGCAAGTGGCCCAACCCATCAGGGCTTTCTTGGGCTCAGTTATTCATTTGGGAGGCTGGGGAGTCAGACCATGGCAGAGTCTGTTCAGAGGGCTATCAGGCCCATGGGAATAGTCAAGGAGTAGATGTCTCAGAAGAGCCCTGGGCCCTGCTATTTCGGAAGCCAGCCAGTCTGCACCTGCAGCCACACAAGCCAGGGAAGCTGTGTTCCAGGCAATGCATTGGGAGAACCCTCTGCTGAACTGCACAGGGTGGGCTTCATCAGATCAGGGCAGGGCAGGTCAAACACAGACTGGGAGGATCCCTCCAGCCTACCTGACTCTGAGCTCCTGCCTATGCAGCTCTGGAGTGTGGGGCGTGGAGGCCCGGGTCGGTCGGTCCCGGTTGTGAACCCGAACCAAAGGCATGGACGGTTTCCACGTTTCCTTCCTTTGGACTGTTTCTTTTTGGAACTGTAAGCAGGAACAGATGCTGTGGGGCTCAGTCTTCTGCTCAGCAGGTGTTACACTGCTCCCCTGCCCCAGGCCCTTCTGAGGCCTAGCTAGCAGGCTTGGTCTGCTTGCTGAGTGACAGGAGCTGCCAGTTCAAGTGTGGAGTGAATGGTACCCTCAAATCAACTGGCTCGCTAGGGGAGTCTGACAGCAGGCACATCAGGGGATTAAAAAAGTAAGCAGTGGAGACAGGTAAGCATCCAGGGGCCTCTGGGAAGCCCAAGTGAGACCCTCCAAGGACAAGTTCATAGCCTGAAAGGTCTGACATTAGAGAGACCAAGCCACAGGGAAGTAAGCAGTCGGCCAAACTGGGGCCCTCAGTCTCCTCAAGTCCATGCCTTTCTGCTCCCTCACTGCCTCATCAGAAGGTGGAAGGTCAGGGCTCTTTGCTCGTGTATGTGGTATAAAGGAATGAGGCCAAGGCGTGGCAGAAGGACAAGCCTGTAGCCAGTGGCCTCACAACTCCCTAGATTGGGGCAGCATGTAAGGCTGTACACACTGTTGGGTGAGGCTTGCCTACTGTTTCAAGGCTGCCTTCCCAAGGTGCTTTCTGTGTTATCCTTCATGAGAGGCTATTCTGGGTTTTTATCCCAGTCCTGCTTTGGTTCAAATTCTGGCCACCCTTGGGGACGCCCTCACCTCCCTCTGCCTGTGGTGCTTTCATGAGAGGGAGAGGTTTGCAAGACAATCTTCTCCCCCTCCTGGAGCAGCTCGGAGCACAGTGCCAGGAAAGTCTGCCCTGTACTTCTGGGACACGCAGGACAGGTTGCAGTCCCAGAAGTCAGAGACCCACACAACTGCATCCCCCTTCCCTGTGCTGGCGTGGCTTTGCTCTTCCCATGCCTCTTCCCTATGCTGGCGTGGCTCTGCTCTCCCCATGCCTCTCCCTGCGCTGGCGTGGCTCTGCTCTCTCCATGCCTCTCCCTGTGCTGGTGTGGTTCTGCTCTCCCCATGCCTCTCCCTGTGCTGGCATGGCTCTGCTCTCCCCATGCCACTCCCAGTCCTGGCGTGGCTCTGCTCTCCCCATGCCTTTCCCTGTGCTGGCGTGGCTCTGCTCTCCCCATGCCACTCCCTGTGCTGGTGCTGGTGTGGCTCTGCTCTCCTTGTGCTGGCGTGGTTCTCCTCTCCCCATGCCTCTCCCTGTGCTGGCGTGGCTCTGCAGGTGTGGCGCTGCTCTCCCTGTGCTGGTGTGGTTCTGCTCTTCCCATGCCACTCCCTGTGCTGGCGTGGCTCTGCTCTCCCCATGCCTCTCCCTGTGCTGGCGTGGCTCTGCTCTCCCCATGCCTCTCCCTGTGCTGGCATGGCTCTGCTCTCCCCATGCCACTCCCTGTGCTGGCGTGGCTCTGCTCTCCCTGTGATGGCATGGCTCTGCTCCCCCTTCCGGCCACTATGCACCTCCTCTAAAATACTTCACTCACCGGTTTGTTCTCCTTTTCCTTGTTCAGGATCTGAATGGCTTCCTTCAGGATTACCTCATGTGGCAGCACAGGCTGGAAGGCCACTTGGACCACACACTTCTGCAGAGAGACACCAAAACTGCTGACCCTTCCGCAGAATCTCAGAGGGCAGAGGTGGTCCTGCTGGGGCACCTCTCTCCTCCCATAGTGTTATGTACTCTCTCTCTCTCTCTCTCTCTCTCTCTCTCTCTCTCTCTCTCTCTCTCTCTTTCTCTCTCCCTCCCTCCCTCCCTCTCTGGTTTATCCAAGACAGAGTCTCTCTGTGTAGCTCTGGCTGTCCTGGAACTCTCTGCAGACCAGGCTAGCCTCAGACTCACAGAAATTTACCTGCCTTTATCTCTCAAAAAGCATGTGCCACCAAGCTTGACTGCATTTCTCCTAAGGTTACTTTTTTGAGGTTCTCCCTCATCGCTACCCTAGGAAGCTGGGGTGAACTTCAGGCCATGTATATTGTGGGTCTGTTAACTGGAGGTGCTGAGAGAAGGGTCCTAAATGGGTCAGAACCTCAGCAGACTAGAGAAGAAAGGAATCTAGCAACAAGGAGCCCTTCTCTGTCTGCAGCAAGTCCCCATGGGACATGTCTCAAGAAAGATTCCACGGTGACTTGCTGACCACATCTCCTTGATGCTCAGGAGGTGGAAGGGTGTGTAGGGTGTGAAATGATGGGTAAGAGGGAGAAGAAGAAAAGACAGAGGAGGAAAGGAGTGAACGGCGGAGTGAGAGGGGAGAAGATGGAGCAAAGGAAGAGGAAGAAGGAAAATAGAGCCGAACACTTCCATAATTCAGTGGGAGATGGGAACCAATACCAAGGTAATTCAGAATTTTTAATTCAGAAGTTTTACAGGACATGTTTTAAATAACTGTATCCACTGAATCTTGCTGGTGACCACACAGACACTGGTGGAAGTGGGTCGCACAGCTGCGCTCCTTGAGGCAGGTGTTGTGTGGCCTTCTTTAGCTCTGTCTGCTGCGCGTCAACACTTGGCTCTTCTGATTGTCTGCACACCTTCCTTCCAGCCGTAGGCAGGCACGTGCTGGGCAGCTCCCTCACGGACAGGTAAGGTCAGGGTCACCTCCATCCTCTGTTCCTGAGTCCCCAGCTCACACCCTTGGCCATGCTGTGCGCCAGTACCTGTGGTTAAGGTGTGCCAAACCGGGCACCTGCCTCCTAGCCTGTCAGTGGGGCCCATGCTCACCTTTCCTGGCAACACAGTCCCCACGGATGGTGAGATGGTGATGGGTGAATCAGGGGGCAGCAAGAACTCAAAGGATGTTGGTCCCACTGGGGTGGCTTCCTCGGACCCAATTCGAGGCAAGGAGTGGGTCAGTTTGTTCATGCTCAGGTGCGAATTGATGACATACAGTGTGGACACGGTGGTGTCATACAGGGCCGTGGCTGAAAACTTGATCTGGTAGTGGGACAGCTCCAGAGGCGGGTGGACACCAACTGCTTGGCAAGACACCTTGAAGCACCTGAAAGCAACCAGTGTGGGTGGCATTCGTTTTGTGTCGCGGCAACCGTGGGTGGAGGATACACATAACTCCCCACATGCCAACTGTGATGGACAGGCCTGGTGAGCTGGTGATACCCCAGGTGCCCAAGACGTAGTCCTACGGTTATCACGGTTGCTTACAACCTGATTAACCAATGTGGGAAAAATGTAGAAGAAAAGTATATAAACAAGATAAAAACCTGTAAATTGCTTTAAAAATAAGGGTTGCAGGGCTAAGTGATGGCTCAGAGCAGAGGCTCTCAATCTTCCTAACGCTGCAACCCTTTAATACAGTTCCTCATGTTGTGGTGACCCCCAACCATGAAATTATTTTGTTGCTACTTCATAATTGTAGCTTTCTTACTGTTATGAATCATAATGTAAATATTTGATATGTGACCCCCCCCCAAAGGAGTCTTGACCCACAAACTGAGAACCACTAGCATGGAGGCTAAGAGCACTGGCTGTTCTTGCTGATGACCCAGGTCCAGTTCTCAGTACCCACACGGGGGCTCCAACCACCTGAAACTCCAGTTCAAGGGGAGCAAAGTCCTCTTCTGACCTCTGGAGGCCCTGTGTGCATATAGGGCATATTCAGACAAGCAAGCAACCCACATGCATGTAAATAAAAAAAAAATTTTGTTGTTGTTTTTTGTTTTCTTGTTTTTTTTGTTTTGTTTTTTGAGAGAGGGTTTCTCTGTGTAACAGCCCTGGTTATCCTGGAATTTGCTTTGTAGACCTGAACCCAGAGAGCCGCTTGCTTCTGCCTCTGCTTCCCAAGTGCTGGGATTAAAGGCATGCGCCTCTACTGCTTGGCTAAAAATAAAAATTTTAAGAAAATAAAAATGTAGTCAAAGGAATTGATTTCTGACTTTTTATTTTATTTTTTTATTTTTTGTGTATGTGCATTGGTGTGTGTGTACATCTGTGTGAGGGTGTCAGATCTTGGAGTTAAAGACAGTAGTGAGCTGCCATATGGGTGATAGGAATTGAACTCAGGTCCTCTAGGAGAACAGCCAGTGCTTTAACCACTGAGCCATCTCTCCAGCCCCTGATTTCTGTTTTTTTACATTGAATATTTCTTGACAGTTATATTTGTCCTTTCTCTACCTCCTGAGTGCTGGAATAACAGGTGTGTTTCACCATGTCTTATTTATGGGGTGATGATATTGAACTTAGGGTTTTGTGCATGCCAGGCAAACTCTCTACCAATTGAGCTATAATTCTAGCCCCATGTAGTTGATTATTTTTGGCTATTTTAACCACTGGAAGTTTTACATTCTATATTTTCTTTGAACTCCTATGTTCACTAGACTTTTCCTCATCAACTTTTCTTTTTTTCGAGACAGAGTAGGCCAGGCGGTCCTCGAACTCACAGAGATCTGCCTGCCTCTGTCTCCCAAGTGCTGGGATTAAAGGCGTGTGCCACCACCACCTGACTCCTCATCAGCTTTCATCATTTGTTTTCTGTACTGAGGATTAAATCTAAGTCCTCGTGCTGGCGAAGAAGGAACTCAGCTGTTCAGTTTCACTCTGCACTCACACATGCGTTGTTTTAAATTTGTTTGCTGTGGGATGATCCTTTTGTTGCTGTAAAGATTTGTCACCAAAAGCAATCTACAGATTCAATGCAATGCCCAGCAAAATCCCAGCAAAATTCTTCATAGACCTTAAAAGAACAATACTCAACTTCATATGGAAAAGCAAAAACCCAGGATAGCCAAAACAATTCTGTACAATAAAAGAACTTCTGGAGGCATCACAATCCCTGACTTCAAACTCTACTACAAAATCACAGTACTGAAAACAGCCTGGTATTGGCATAAGAACAGATAAGAGGACCAATGGAACCGAATACAAGACCCAGATATCAATCCACACATCTTTGAACACCTGTTTTTTTAATAAAGAAGCAAAAAATATCAAATGGAAAAAAGAAAGCATATTTAACAAGTAGTGCTGGCATAACTGAATATCAACATGTAGAAGAATGAAAATAGACCCATATCTATCACCATGCACAAAACTCAAGTCCAAATGGATCAAAGACCTCAACATAAAGTCAACCACACTGAACCTTATAGAAGAGAAAGTGGGAAATATACTTGAACTCATTGACACGGGAGACCACTTCCTAAATATAACCTCAGCAGCACAGATACTGAGAGAAACAATTAAAAAATGGGACCTCCTGAAACTGAAAAGATTCTGAAAAGCAAAGGACATGGTCAACAAGACAAAATGACAGCCTACAGAATGGAAAAAGATCTTCACTAACCTCACATCAGACAGAGGTTTGGTCTCCAAAATATACAAAGAACTCAAGAAATTGGACACCAAAAGAACACATAATCCAATAAAAAAATGGAGTACAGACCTAAACAGAGAACTCTCAACTGAGGAATTTAAAATGGCTGAAAGACACTTAAAGAAATGCTCATCATCCTTAGTCATCAGAGAAATGCAAATCAAAACAACTCTGAGATTCCATCTTACACCTGTAAGAATGGCCTAGATCAAAAACACTGATGACAATTTATGCTGGAGAGGATGTGGGGAAAAGGGAACACTTCTGCATTGCTGGTGGGAATGCAAGCTGGTACAACCCCTTTGGATGTCAATGTGGCTATTTCTCAGAAAATTAAGAAACAACCTTCCTCAAGAACCAGTAATATCACTTTTTGGGTATATATCCAAAGGATGCTCAATTGTGCCACAAGGACATGTGATCAACTATGTTCATAGCAGCTTGTTTGTCATAGCCAGATTCTGGAAACAATCTAAATGCTCCTCGACCGAAGAATGGATAAGGAAAATGTGGTACATTTACATAATGGAGTACTACACAGCAGGAAAAAAATAACGACATCTTAAATTTTGCAGGAAAATGGATAGAGCTAGAAAACATCATTTTGAGAGAGAAAATCCAGACACAGAAAGACAATTATCATATGTACTCCCTCACAGGTGGTTTTTAAATATAAAACAAAGAAAAACAGCCTATAAACCACAATCCCAGAGAACCTAGACAACAATGAGGACACTAAGAGAGACTTATTTAGATCTAATCTACATGGGAAGTAGAAAAAGACAAGATCTCCTGAGTAAATTAGGAGCATGGGGACTTTGGGGGAGGGTTGAAGAGGGGAGAGGAGAGGCAGGGAGGTGAGCAGAGAAAAATGTAGAGCTTAATAAATATCAATAAAATAAAAGATTTGTCACTAGAGTTGGTTTAATAAAAAGCTGACTGGCCAGTAGCCAAACAGGAAGTATAGGCTGGACAACCAAACTAAGGATGCTGGGCTGAAAAAGGGCGGAGTCAGTGGAGTCGCCAGGAGTCACAGAGGGAGCAAGACATGCTGCAGGACAGGTAAAGCCATGAGCCACATGGCAATACATAGATGAATAAAAATGGGTTAATTTAAGTGGTAAGAGCTAGTTTAGTAATAAACCTGAGCTATTGGTTGAGCATTTATAATTAATATTAAGCCTCAATGTGTTTATTTGGGAACTGGTGGGTAGGAAAGAAATATCTGCCTACATTTATTTATTCATTTATTTGCTTATTTGTTTATTGAGACAGGGTTTCCCTGTGTAGCCTTGGCTATCCTGGAACTCACTATGTAGATCAGGTTGTCCTTGAGCCCACAGATCAGCCTTCCAAGTGCTGGGATTAAAGGTGTACACCACCACTGCCTGGCTTTAAAGGTTTTATTTTAAGTTTGCTAGCTAGCTAGCCTGGTCTACTTGGTGAAGTTCCAAGTTAGCAAGAGACCTTGTTACAAAGAAAGAGTGGAAGGTGCCTGAGAAGCAAGATCCAAAGGTCTCTGACTTCCACAGGCACACACACACGTGCATGCCCACACAAACCTACCCACACGTATACAAAATATGTTCAGATGTTCAAATATTCAGACATGTAAGTTAACATCTTTTGGGGTAGAGAGATCATTATTAATATTTAATTGAATAAATAAATATCTAAAATATGATAATTATCAAATATAAAATAAAAAAATTACTGGAACCTTTTCTTTTTTTATGTGGCCTAGGTTGGCCTATAGCTCGGTATATAGCTCAGGATGGCCTCCAACTTGCTTCCTGAATGCTGGGATTACAGGCTTGTGCCACTGAGTTAAAAATTCTAAATATTTTTTCTTCAGTTTGTGTGTGTATAATACATGTATATATGTGTGTATATGATATATGTGTATGCCCTGTGTAAGTGTGTGCTTGCATGAGCTACAGTGCAAGGGTAAAGGTCAGAGGACAACTTTGAATGTTGGTTCTTACCTTCAATTTTGTTTAGAGATAAGGTCTTTCTTTTTTATTTAAAAATTTCTTCATATTTACTTAGCATGTTTATGTATGTATGGAATGCATGTGTGTGGAGGTCTGAGAACAAACTGTGAATGCCAGCTCTCTCCTTCTACCAGGCTGCCAGGCTTGGTGACAAGTGCCTTCACCCTCCGGTCCATTTTACCAGCCCAAAGGTCTCTCTCTTTTCGTGGCTCTTGCTCACTGCTCTGTGTCAGGTTAGCTTGCCCTTGAGTTTCCCAAGGATTTTACTGTCTCTCCCTTCCAGTTTGACACAGGAACACAGGAGCAGGAGCCGCAGATGCCCGTCACTGTGCTTTGTGTGGGTTCTAGGTGTTCACACTCAGGCCCTCACACTTCCACGGCAAGCACTTTACCCCCTGAGCCATCCCCACAGCTCTCAAACCTTTTTTTGTTTTGTTTTTGAAACAGGGTCTCACTGTGTAGCCTTGGCTGGCCAGGAATTCACGATTATAGACCAGGGTGGCCGCGAACTCACAGAGATCTGCCTGCCGAGGGCTGGGATTAAAGGCACACTCCATTGTACTTGGCTCAAATCTTTAAATTAAAAATTTGTGTGTGTGTGCGCACTTGTGTGCATGCACGCATACTAAATTGTATAAATTTATGTGTACTGTGTGTGTGCAGGAGACTGAGGAGGCCAGAGAAAGTATGATTGCCTGGAACTGGAGGTTCTGGTGGTTGTGAGCCACCACTCGGGCGCTGGAAACTGAACTGATGCCTCTGCAGGAACAGTAAGTGCCTTTGATTGCTGAGCCATCTCTCTAACTCCCTTTAAATCTTAAGTGAGGTTTTGTTTGTTTATTTTTGGGTTTCTGAGACAGATTTTATGTAGCCCAAGCTGGTTGCAACCACTTTACATGGCCAAAGGTCACCCCACTCTCGCTCTCCTGCCTCTAACGCCCACGTTGCCGGTACAACAGGCACTTATACCTCACCTGTTCATGCGGCGCCAGGGATCAAATTCAGGGCTTCAAGCATATGAGGCAAGCACTCTACAAACTGAGCTGTGCCCAAGATACCAACTTGCGAAGGCAAACACATTCGAATAACACTAGGCCTCCCAAGAGAAACCCAGGGAAGAAGAGAAGGCTAAGTGTCAAGCCTTGACAGTGACCAATGTATGAATTCTTTATGTGCTTTATGTATGATACTTTCCACAATGTCCTGACATGCTCAAAGATGCTCGTGTTACAATACTCATGTTCATCAACTCAGTTTTTTTTAATCTCCTCACATACAAGGGTAAACTAGTCCAAAGTAAAAAGTCATGTGGACCTAAAACCTATCTGTTCCTGGGTCCTGGGCTCCTACTGGCTACCAGTGCTGTCTCCCCAGCCCTGAGGTCAGCCTGATGGGATCTGTCCTGATGGACAATATGGTCACATGTCTCTGCTGTCTCGTAGACTTACCGGTTTATTTCGGATTTGCAAATCAGCTCAAATCTATATTCCTTGGCCTTAATGGGCTGGAAGATCACATCAAGTTGCAAAGTTTCCAGCGGCAAAATTGTCCCGAACCCATCATTGGGCTGGATGTCTACATACTAGGAGGAAACATAGTCAAAGTGAATGCCATGCTCTGTAGAGCAGCTGGTAGAAACTCGTGTACCCTGTATGGGGAGTGTGGGAGCCCACATGGAGGGTACGAGAGTATGAGAGATGTGTGTGCATGTGGGGGTGTGTAAGCTAGGTGTGAGTGGGTGGATAGGGACAGCCTAGGAAGGGCTAATGGCAGTGAGGCCTGGGGCATCCTACTGAACTCTCCTGTGGGGCTTGGCCAGAGAATGTCTTAGAAGGCCGGCAGGGGAGAATCTGGAGCCTTTCGGGTGTACCTCACAGCCAGAAAAATAAGAGGCCAGGGAGAGGGAATCAAGAAGGAGAGGGTCAGCTGGGATGAACATAGGGCAGCAGAGTTGCCGATGTCTGGGCCTGGAGAGCATCTGTTCTGCCCTTTCTCCCCAGGGATGACCACAACAGGTACCTTTGGAAGTCCAACGAACCCAAACTCCTGGGGCAGCAGTGAGAGGTTGCTGAGGCTGATTTCTGTCCTGATGGCCTCATATATGGTACAGTAGCCGAAGTTTATCTCCAAGGGGCTGATTTCCAAGTCTGAGGTGGTGACGACAGCTTGGACAGTGAACTCCACTGGTTTGATCTAAGGTGCAAAAGGCACAGAACATTCCCAGCCATGGGAAGATTTATGCAAAAGCCCTCAAATAATAAGGGTGGTTCTGCTGTCTTGTGCACAAGAGTATACTATTTCCACAGCATGGGTTTCTCAGTGAAGAGCAGAGGAGCGCAGGCAGCAGCCTAAAGAATTGGCCAGGCGCGGCAATGTGCGCATGACACATTGTGTGTGACATATTGTTTGTGAGCACATATATATGTGGACCCATGTTGATGAGGGCAGAACATGTATATCTATGTGTGTATATGGTGCATTCATCTGTGTCTCCATATTCAACTGTGTAGGCATATTTCTTTTTTAATAATTTATTTGTATTTTATGTATATTGGTGTTTCGCCTACATGTACAGCTGTGTGAGAGTGTTGGGTCCCCTGGAATGGGAGTTACAGTTATGAGCTCCCATGGGGTTCCAGAGAATTGAACCTGGGTTCTCTGGAAGAGCAGCCAGTGCTCTTAACGGCTAAGCTATCTCTCCAGCCCTATAGGCATATTTCTTGTGTGCATATGTGGGTGAGGTGTCTGAGCTCTTTCATACTGTGCAGGGGTCATGTGACTAGGAGGCAAAGCCGCCTGTTAGGCCACTGGACGTTACCAGCTGGGACGTGAAGATGGGCTCTGAAGTCAGTTACATCTCTTCAGGTATTGTCACTGGAAATATGGGGCTCCCACAGAGGCCACCCGTCTCCTAGGAGAGCTTAACATTCCCAGAAAGTGTTTTGTACAGACCTGGTCAGCCACCCAGATTGTCATCGGAGCCTCCAGAACTCGACTGTGCTTGTCAAAATACTTCCCTGCATCCTCAGGGAGGGAGTGTCTGCAAGACATAGGACTCACTTGAACATATTTTTCTTCTTCATATTTTGTAAAAAAAAAAACTGTTCTAAAATTGAAGAGCAAGTATGAATAAGACCACGGTATAATGACATATATATGTATGAACATGAAGGGCAAGTATGAATAAGACCACGGTATAATGACATATGACACATGAACTTGACACAAGGAAACCCATTACTTTGTGTACTAACTTTAAAAAGTAAATGTCCTGCAATTAAATGGCCCCATTGAATCAACTACACAGAGTTCCCAAGGGTTCACAGAGACTGAAACTGGCAAGCATGGGATTTACAGGGGGCTGTACCAGGTCCTCTGTGGATATATTGTGGCTGATGGCTTGGTGTTTTCGTGGGACTCCTAACAGTGGAAGTAGGTGTATCTCTGACTCTTTTACCTGCCTCTGGGACCCTCTTCCTCCTACTAGGTTGTCTTGTACAGCCTCCATATGAGGGCTTTTGCCTTGCTTTATTGTGTCTTGTTTTGTCTTGTCCGACTGTTGTCTTTTAGAGGCAGAGTAGGGAGTGGATCTGGGGGAGAGGAGAGGTGGAGGGAGCTTGGAGGAGGAGAGGGGGGAAACTGTGGTTGGAATGTACTGTATGAGAGAAAAGTATATTTGGAATAAAAAATTAAAAAGAATGTAAATGAACTTGGCTTAGCCAAATGTGGTGTCATGTGCCTTTAATCACAGCACTTTAGTGACAAAGGCAGGTGGTTCTCTGTGACCTTGAGACTAGCTTGGTCCCTATAGTGAGACCCTATCTCAAAAAACTAAAACCCAAAACTAAAAACCATGGTTCAATTATGTAATATTGTCCTCTCTCTCTCTCTCTCTCTCTCTCTCTCTCTCTCTCTGTGTGTGTGTGTGTGTGTGTGTGAAGATACACACAAATTTATCTCATAAATGTATGAAACCATAATTTTACACTAAAATTTACAATGTATTTGTCTGGGGAATACAAACACCACTGTTCATTCCTGAGGGTCAGGGGATTGTGGACTCCGGAAGTGAACTCAGGAACTTGGTGGCAAGTGCCTTTACCTGCTGAGCCATCATTTTGGCCCAAAATAGTAAGTTTTAAAGACAAAAATCAATAAAATGATAAGGAGTCTATCACTTGAAGGAATCATAAAAATCCTTTTTGAAAAATCAATCTAAAAGCAGGTGGCTCATGAGCTGTCTGTGCCTCAGTGGTAGAGCACAAGGCTCTGGGTTCCACCGCCAGTACTGAGAAAGAAAAAAGTCCGCTTTTGTTTGGCTGGCTGGTATACGCCTGGAATGGGCCAGAACATTGTAAAATAGGCCAGGCCAGGATGCATGGTTATCACTCTGTCTCAAAAAAACTTATTTTTTGGTTATAAAAAGAATTACTATCATTATAGAAATATTTTTTTAAAAGCACAAAGAAAAGAGTTCCCCTTTGTCATGGTGGGGACTCAGCGAGAAGGACCAGGAAGTGGGACAGAGTTTAAAAATCAGCTTCGAATCCTCTTCGCTACCCTGAGAGCCGAGGGCTAGGGGCTGGTCCACAGCCGCCTCACTCCACAGCCACCTTCTCTGACACAAACCCCTTACAGAGCTGTGGGATGAAGGTAAACAAGCCAGCTTCAAGTGCATGCTACAACCTGACACAGAACCTCAGCGAGCGACTGGAAGACGTAAGGATCTCACAAGGGCAGGGCACTCACTGCGTCTGAGCAGAAGCCGAGGTGAGGCCCTTGCACGGAGGGTCAGGGTGCTCGGCTTCATGCACAGAGGGTCAGGGTGCTTGGTTTCGTGCACAGAAGGTCAGGGTGCTCGGTTTCGTGCATGGAGGGTCAGGGTGTTCTTACCTCGGCAGGTGGCACATCCTGGATGTCTGTGTCCAGCAGAGTGATCAGCTCAAGGCAGCCACGGTTCACACCCCCTCCCGTCACGCTCCAGGCCTTTCCCAGTTCTCACCGAGGCAGGAACTTGAGCTGTACCGAATAGGAGGACCGGGCCTGGATGTAGCCTGTTTCTGGCAGAAGCTCTATGTGGCCTCTCAGTTCCTTGCAGACTTCAAACTTTAGGCGCAGTGCTGCTTTTGATCTGCAAGAGGTCACAGGTATGTTTGACCCATTAAGGTATTCCTGGTAACAGAGCCAGTGTGCAGTGTGCAGAGCGCGTTAGTCCAGGCCACGCCAGTGCCCTGATGATTAGAAAGCAGCCTCAGCGCTGTTTTTAAGGAATGTTTTGTTCTGAAGTTAAATTGATTACATTTTAAAAAAATATTTATTTATTTATTATGTATACACTATTCTGTCTACTTTGCAGGCCAGAAGAGGGCACCAGATCTCTTTACAGATGGTTGTGAGCCACCATGTGGTTGCTGGGAATTGAACTCAGGACCTTTGGAAGAGCAGGCAATGCTCTTAACTGCTGAGCCATCTCTCTAGCCCCTACATTTTTTAAAATTATTCTTGGGCTGGAAAGATGTCTCAGTGGTTAGGAGCCCTGTTGCTTTGGCAGAGGAGTTGGCATTCACATGGTATTTCACCACCATCCATAATTCTAGTTCCCGGGGATCTAATATGCTCTTCTGACCTCTGTGGGAACCAAGCATGCATGTGGTACACATACATACAATCAGGCAAAGAAGTCACACATAAAATAAAATGAAATACAATACAGTATAATTATTGAGACAATCTCTCTATAGTCCTGCTGTTCTGGAACTTGCACTGGCCTCACACTCACAGAGATCCTCCTGCTTCTGCCTCCGGTGCTGGGATTTTAAAGGCACTAGCCACTATTCCTGACTGTAATACAATCTTTTAAAAAATAACAATTATTATCGTTGTGTATGTATGCACGGTGTGTGTGTGTGTGTATGCACGGTATGTGTGTATGTGTGTGTATGCACGGTATGTGTGTATGTGTGTGTATGCACGGTGTGTGTGTGTGTATGCACGGTGTGTGTATGTGTGTATGCATGGTGTGTGTATGTGTGCACACACACACGTGCACACTCTCATGCACACGAGCACTTTGCCTATGTGGAGGCTAAAGGACAGCTTTGCAGAATTGTTTCTCGCCTCTGCTTTTGTGGGTTCTGGGGATTGAGCTCAGGTTTTCAGGCTTTAACAGCATATGCCTTTCTGCTGAGTCATTTTGCTGGTCCTGATTTTTTTTAGACAGATTTTTTTTTAATACAACCCAGACTGAACTATAAAACTCAAAATCATCTTTCCTTGTCCTCCAAGTGCTGAGTTTATAGCTATATGCCAATATACCCAGCTTGAAAATAATTTAAAAATAAAAGCAATAAAACTTTGAGTTGAAATATGCCCAGATCAGCTCTCAGAGGCTAGAGTGCTTTAGGGGAGAAGTCCCACAGGCAGCTGCTGAGTGCAGAGCCCTGGAAGGGATGTGAAGAACGGCTCTTCCTTGTGGGGTCCTGTTTCTTCCTACCCAGGGGTCTTGACAGGAAGTTTGGGAGGCCCTGGCTTGCTAGGTGTTAGCTATTGACACAGGTTTATAACTCAGAACCAGATGGAGGGAGGACAGGTACGACTCTATCCAGCCATCAGGGCCCTCCTGTGTCTGCCTCTCTCCAAAAGAAGTTTTCCTTTCCCTTGCCTGAAATGAGGTATCTGTCAAAGGCAGCAGCCAAACCCCCATCTAAGGCATCTCTGGAGGGCAGCCCTGCCCTGCTCCCTGTGGGAGTCTCCTTTTGTTCCCATAGGAAGAATTATTTCTTAACCAAAGGAAGGAAAGGTAGCTTGGAGAGGGAGGGCCAGGGAACGCTTCCCTGGTTTGTCTTCTAGTGTCTTCTAGAACGATCCTTGTCTGTTCTGTGGCTGTCTAAGCTCTGCAGCCCATGGTCTTCTAGACCTCTGCTCAAATACGGCCTGAGGGCTGAGTCTGCAGAGATCCAGAGATGGAACTATAAAGTCATGCCATCAACACTGGAGGAAGCAGCCGGGTCTTCAGGAAGAGCCCACATGTCATAGATACCGCTGGGAGTATCCATAAGGGAGGACCAAGTGGACACAGAGGGAAAAGCCACTCCCTTTCTCATGCTCTTTGGATGCTCACCAGAGTTGTGGTGACCTCTGACCCGCCTCTAAGCCCCCACAGTGTGCATTCACCACTACAGTGACCAGCGCCCTGAGTTCCTTCTGCTAGGGACCCAGGACAAAGTGGGAAGCAGGCAGCCACTTGGGATTCTCAGGGATGTGCCTGTCAGTTCCACTGTTTGTGCGCAGTGACCAACACTGGTCCTTGGGCACACACAACAAACGGTCTTCATAAGTCAATCAATACCTTTCTACACGCATGTAGGCAAAACTTCATAAGCAAGGTCACAAATGATACTGGGGTTAAAATTACTAAACACATTTATACTGACAGCTGGGTGCTTTGGGTAAGAATGATAAGATTCCTTGACTTCTTTTGATTCCTTCCCTACATGACCTGGGAGCACTTAATACCTATGCAAACTCTATTCAACCCGTTCTCCCAGACAAGTACAACCAACCCTTCTTCCAAGCCCCACACTCCTTCATTAAGCAGGTTTTCCCCGACTTTGGTAGTTCACTGCCATCTGATAGCTCTCTGGTTCTCAGGGAGGGGAGCATCTTCGTGAAGCCAGACCATGTCACCCAGTCATGGGTGAAGGGGTAGTGACAGGGGTTTGAAATGATCAGGACTTGCCCTTTGGTTTGGGGACTAGCAGTTCAAAGTCGGCAACGTCATGAAACCTGGGATGATCCTATCTCAGGTTGTCCTTCAAGGAAAATACTTTTAATCTAAAGTCTGATATCTTTGTAAAACAATACAAATAAACACACTTCTTTTGTTGGACTTTGTCTATTCTCCAAGTTGCTGCTATGTTTGATATTCTTGAAGGCGCTTAGACCGTTCCTAGTACCCCAGGCATACAGCAAGTGGGTCTCTGCTATGGCTACTGAAATACTGTCCACAAACTCAGGTCTAATACACTGTAGAGTAATTCTCTGAGCATCTTGGGGGACATAAGGCCAAAGTGGGACTAACTAGACTGAGGGTCAAGATGTAGGTAGGGCTGGTTCCATGTTTTGCCCTTTTGGGTGTCGGGCGTTCCATACCCGTGGTCCCTTCCTCTGTCTTCAGCTTGGTCTCTGCCCTTGACTCTCCTGGGTTCCTCTACAATGCCTCGACAACACTGGGATCTCCTGGATATTCAGAATCACTTTCTTCAAGGTGCAGAGCCTAATCAACTGCCCAGTCCTCTGCCACCCAAGGAGACTGGCCATTCAGAGCCAGTGTGTGGCTGGCTCCAGGCACGACACTCCTGCACCAGAGGGCTCACCTTGTGTGGACAATGATGGAGTCCTGGTAGAGCCGGTCGTATATACATATCTTCAGGTCCACAGTGGCCCTTGGCACCCAGACTGGCACATCGACGGCAATACCCGTGGCCCTGAAATATAACTGATGTGGAACACGTAAACTCAACATGAGTTCAGCTTGCGGTGTCAGAGACACCAGTGAGTGCTAACATAATACTTAGCACAGGGTTTCATGGTTTGCTGGTTTTTAACTTCCTGTATTACAATATGAGGCTAATGATTAATCATGACATGTATTGAAGAATCTTGTGATATTTTTCATGTAATTATCCTATTCCGTAGAATCCAAAGAATGATCTACAATACTCATACTTCTGGTTTTGAATGGGTTTATTAAGTGTATGGTAAGCTAAGGTAAAAATCAGATTGATCCATAGTTAGATTGGCACTAAAATATTTGGGAAGTAAATCAGTGATCTTCCCAAAGTAAAAGACTCAGTTACCCTGTGGAACAGAAATGTCTGTGGTGGGGAATGACTATCGGAGTCTCATCCAGGAGAAGAGACTCTATCTGAGGCCATCTTTGCTCATCAGTGACCTCAGACGGTGGTGTCAGTTCCCGTTGCTTCCCTGTTGGTTTCTGCTGGACAGTCTAAGTGTCTGCTATGATGCTCTGCTATCTTTCTGCTGTTGCTCTTTTAGTCTTTCTTTTTTTTTTTTGGGCAGGGTTTCTCTGTGTAGCAGTCCTGGCTGTCCTATAACTCACTCTGTAGACCAGGCTGGTCTCGAACTCAAGAGTGCTGAGAGTAAAGGCATGCACCACTACCACCCTTCTTAAAATGTCTTTTATTATCAACAATTATAAACATAAAACATATAACTCAATACTAAATGGCCATGTATTTCTCACCCAATTTTGAAGTTATCAAGATTTTTAATTGCTTGAAAACTTGGGTCAGGGATGCAGCTCACCAGGACTTGCCTAGCATGTTCAAAGCTCTGATCCCCAGCACTAAAACAAGCAAAGCAACTCAAATCCTTGATTGCACAAAAATGCATTATGCAGAGAAGTGTACGCATTATGTGTAAAACTGCCACCGATAGCACAAACTGGAAGCTACAGAACTCAGGAGTTTTGCAGGGATCTGGGAAAGGAGTGGTGACTTTCATCTCTGTCCCCATTGGCTGCTTCTCCTCACTCTGACTCCTCAGGTCAGGTGCATAGGGCTTGGAGGGATGTCAGGACTTGGAATTAAAGGAAGCCTGGTATAAGGGTGAAGCCCACTGGGTGGTAGGTACCTTCCTGGTTCCATGGGGGTGAGTGGAAAACTGGGAAAATCTACCTGGACTCAAGAACTCAGGCTAGGATAGAGGACTATGCCCTCTAGACTGTCCACACATAGGGTGAGTTGGCCTGGGAGTTAGGGGGTTGGAGGTTTCCTTTTCCGCTGGGTAATGGACTTGGGCCATTTAAACTGTTCCAATTATTAAGTCTGAGGTCACAGTATTGCCAAAAATGCAACCTATTTTTGGATCAGAGACAAAATTAGAAAACATTCCAGAGACATGCTTCTGTGGGGGAGGCAGGAAGACAAGACAGCACTTAGAATGCCAGGAGCCGTTCAGGTTAGCTTAACACTGGCCTCTGAGCATGCGCAGCCTGGCTGAGCTGCTAAGGTGTCAGGCACCTAATGCTGACCTCTGAGCTTGCACAGCCTGGCTGAGCTGCTAAAGGTGTCAGTGCACCTATTACCAGCAGCCATTAAAGCAGGGAGTAGGGCCTGTGAGGCCCGAGGACAGCTTAGATCTGGAGCCCAGACAGGGATGACAGAAAAAGGCACGTTCTAGGGGTTTCAAGAAGCAGAGGGAAGTCCCAGTCCACGGGTGGTCCAGCAGGATGGATCCTTTTCTCCTCCTCCTTTTACTTGGAGGTTATCTAATTTATTCCTATTATCTTGTTATCTTGTTGTTATTTTACGGTTTTGAATCTTTAAGTCAATCATTTTTATTGTTAGTGGCATGTTGAGGCACATCCAATGAATATTCAATTCATCAGGGACATCCGGAGTTCAACAATCTGTTATCTGCTTTGTCATTGGGAGGATTGAACTCAACCCCTGAGTGCAGGGAGTGCAGGTCTGACAGTTCCCACTGTGGTTGAGGGTACAACCATGGGACAGGGGGCAGGATGAGGCTGGCAGAGTGAATTCTGTCATTGAGAGGTAAAGGAAGGAAGGAAGCTAGCTAGGGACAGGAGTTAATACCTGGGTCCCTTCCTGTGAAACAGGTCACAACCTGTGAAGCAGATACACTGAACCTAATGATTTCACAGTTCTGGCCTGGCTTCCTCCATCATGTATTAAGAGAAAACTGGGCTGTTGAAATGGGTTATCATGGAAGCTGTGAGTGCTGTGGGAATGTTGGGTCTGTGGGCATAGTGAATATGTGGGAAATGTGGTATGACAGTCATTCTTCATTGTCAACGTGACTGGATGCAGAATCACCTAGAGAATGCATCTCTGGTTTCCAGAGATGTTTAACTGAGGGAAGACCCACCCTGAATATAGATGGGATTGACCCATGGACTGAAGTTCCAGGCGGAATAACAGAGGGCCACGGAGAAGCCAGCTGAGTACCAGCATCCGTCCTCTTTTCTGATGGCATGTGACCAGGCGCTTCACACTTCTGCCACCCCCTACCCAGCACAGAGGAGCGCACCCTCACACTGGGAGCCTTAAGTTGCTTCTTGTTGGTTATTTGGTTACAGTGATGATAAAAGTAATTCCCGTGGATGCTGTGGGCACTGCGAAGCTGCAGCTTCTTCAGGGCTGTGCTGGGTTGTTAGATGTCAACTTAACACAAGCTAAACTCATCTGAGAGGAGGGAACCTCAATTAAGAAAAGGCCTCCAGAAGATCTGGAGTCTGTAAGGCGTTTTCTTAATTAGTGGCTCTGAATGGGTCACTGTGTGTTTGTTTGCACAATGTGCACAGGCTTGGGAAAGAAAAGAGAAAGAGTAGAAGCTGTCATAGATTAAAAAATGATTTAAAAATGATAAAGTCCTTAAAAAGGAAAGAGAGTAATAAAACAAACTATGATAGCCCACATAAAAAGGGGAAATACAGTCTGGATTCTGTTTGATTGTTCTGTCTTTGGATTTTTTTGACTGTTAATGGGGGAATGATAGCTGCTGAGAGGCATTTGATTGTGAAAGCTACTAGATTAAACCAACCTATATATTTAAAAATTATCTTGAATTTTAAAAATTTAAATATTTTAAAATTTAAGTCAAAAGGTATGTCACCTTAGGGGAGATGTTGTTTTTATTTCCACAGGAAATGAGAGGCTATGGATTCATTCTGGGTTAAGGAAACACAGGTTTGATCAAGGAAGACTCCCTGAAATCATGACTAAAGACTTGGGAAAATAAACATAAAGAAACTACAAGAGATGTGATGTATATTTTACCTGTTAAACATATAACAAAAAATCATCTTTGGCTAATTTGTGTACAATACACAGTCTATATGTACATTAATACAGGTATGTATGCCACTTTTAAAAGTTCGTGTATTTTTTAGAACAAGTAGACCAGATGGCAATAAAAATGGCCCAGATGATCCAGCATCTAGAACAGCTTCAAGGCCGCTGACTGAGATGCTCCATCCTCACACAACACTCCAGTCAAGACCAAACAATCACCCTCATTTTCTCAGGGTCCCCAAAGATTACCAGTGCCCTCAGTCAACAAGAAGTCTGGAAAACTATGCCCACCCTTCCAAAATATTGGTTATAAATGTTTGTTTTCATTTAAGGGGGTTGGGTACAAATTGTTGTTGGTCATAGTCAATCTCTTTCTCTCTCTCTCTCTCTCTCTCTCTCTCTCTCTCTCTCTCTTGAGGCAGAGTTTCTCTGTAGCTCTGTAGCCTGTCCTGGAACTTGCTCTGTAGATCAGGCTGGCCTCAAACTCATAGAGATCCACCTGCATCTGCCCCTACAAGTGCTGGGATTAAAGTTGTGAGCTACCACCACCTGGCAGGCAATCTCTTTCTAAAAGAAGAAAGAGGTATATGATATAGAAATGATGGGAAAAGGGTAGATTATTGAATCTACTTTAATCCAAAAAACAACTGTTAATCTCAAAATATTTTACATTGGTATGAATTTTGGTTTATTGATACAAATTTAAAGTTATTTTTGTTATACTGTATGTATATTTCTACTCTTGTTTAAGGTATTGTGCTTATGAAGTGCAATTAAAAATGTAATGTATAATAAGAATTATTAATTAATAGTCATCTATTATAGTCAAACTTATAGTTAGGTTTCCTAGGTATACAGATATAATTCAGATAGACAATCTTCAAGCACTTCAAAGATCTACAGAATATCGCATTTAAAATGTTTTAATAACATAAACTCTTTATGACAGTGAGACATGTCTGCCCCTGACAGCGCCAATGTACTCCAGAGAAGATGATGGGCATCAAAGAAACTCTGTATGGAGTTTATTTTCTTTGTGGCATAAGACAGCTATATGGACAAACTGCCCTTGCCTCAACTGCTGACAGTTTCTGTCCAAACTGGGCACAAAAAAGGCAACTGCCAAACTTTGTGAAGACAAGGTAGGACAGTCCTAACAATTTCCTGCTTCATAGGAAAGTCTGTCAGATATGCTAGGCCCATGGGACCGAGTTGTGTGCCCCAACATTACAGAGGACCTTTGGGCGACTGTCCAGGTTGTGTGCCCCAACATTACAGAGGATCTTTGGGAGACTGTCTCACGGTCCTGTTGGGCAACATTTCACCCTTCTGGGCTCCTTACTGGAGTTGAAGACTAAGCAGTTATAATTATAGCTTTTCTTAGTTATAAACAGAAAATAAATTAGGTATAAAACTTTAGACTCACCAAGATAGGATGAATAATTGAGCATTTTCTCTGATTTTGTTAAATATAAATAGACTAGATATTGTAACTAATTCTTGTTTAATAACTGTTCTGTTGTATGTAATTTTACTATGTTAATGGTAAAACCTTCCTTTTTGATTAGACAGAAAGAGGGAAATGCTGTGGGATAATGCTTCTTTACTCTGAATGTGTATTATTCTCATTGGTTAATAATAAAGTTGATTTGGCCTATAGTAAGGCAGACTAAGGCTAGGTGGGAAACTCAGCTTAAAAATACTGAGATGAAGATGGGTGGAGTCAGGGAAGATGTGAGCCAGGCACCAGAGGAACAAGATATGCTAGAGGACATGTGAAGCCATAAGCCGTGTGGCAAAATGTAGTAAGAGCTAGTTAGTAATAAGCCTGAGCTATAGGCCAATCATTTTGTGTGATTATTTGGGACTGGGCAGTAGGGACAGGAAAGCTCCACCTCCATTTACACCTGTTCTGTTTGAGTTTTTGTTCTGCCTTTGAACAGTGATATGGAAGTGTAAGCCAAATAAGCCCTCTCCTCCCTCCCCAGCTGGCTTTTGGTGTCTTATAGCAGCAATAGAAACCCAACTAGGACAAGTACCATTTATGTTGTGGATGCTGTTGGTGCTGTAAGTTGTTGTGAGACTTGTGTAGCTGTGTATCTGGGCTTTACCTAGATTCCTGTGGGGTACTGTCTAGCATTTGATATTAAGTTATGCATGCGTAATTATTCCTTTCTGGAATTACCCAAAGTTTACCTGTTTCTGTTCACTCCAAAATGATTCAAGGAAACATGTCAGAGCAGAGTTCCTGACAGAAGGTTGAGACAGGTGGTGCCAAGAACAAAACACACAATGGCCAAATCTGTGATATAGACAGTGACTGCATTGCCTATAAACTGTGAGAAATGAATAAAAATACTCACAGCAGGGGGAAATTCTCATAATTCTAATGACAGTTAGGTAAATATAGGTGCTGAGGATGATGCAGGAAAAAACAACAGGGATACAGAAATTGCATTCTGCTTTGGTTGTCAGGAGGTGTTGGGGTATGTTTCCGGTGGAATGGGAGTCTTGAAGGACCTTTCTCTTTCTACATGAAAAAAAGAAATTTGGTGGAATTGTGAGGCCAGGATGGAGGAAGATATGACAAAAAATGAGTTTTTCAAGTACCATGGGGAAAATAAAAGTAGTATTTAACTTGAGAGGAATAATGAGACCAAAAAAAAAAAAAAAACAACTGAAAACAGGTAATATCACTGTAAAATAAATGAACACAACCTCTGACGGAAGGAATAATTCCAATGCAACACTTTTTTGGCTTTGTGGGTGCACGACAAAGCCCGGCTCCTGAAGAGAATGAAGCACTGTGGGATTTGCCTATAACCAACCATCCAGAAAGAAAAGGCTGGGAGATCTCCATGTCAAGGTCAGCTTGGACTCCAGATATGGGAGACCCTTTCCTCAAAACACAAAACCAACAACCCCCCCCCAACAAACAAACAAACGAAAAGCCAAAGAGGGAGAGAGAACAAAAATGGCTACAAAAAGGAGGGGTGAGGGAATTTGATTTGGTGAATGGCACAACCAAACTGGAGAAGCATGCACTCCCTCATGTACCAACCAGCACAGCCACTCTACAGTGCCTAGCATCTAGAAATGCAAAACATAACCAGAAAGGCAGATAGATGTCAGGGAAGGAGCAGGAAAGAAGCAACCCTGTTACTAAATCTGTTACAGCTTCAAAGCAAAGATACTTTTCTCTAAGCTACTCATTATTTCAAGACAAACTTTGCCTCTGATCACAAAGGAAATGTAACACACACACACACACACACACACACACACACACACACACACACACGACACATTACTTTTTTTTGGCCTGATGCTCTGACACAACTGTCCTTATTTGGACAGAAGATCCAGTTGAGGTAAGAACATAGACAAATTATATATCAAACTGATGTGTGATTAACATTGATACTGTTAGCATTTCTTCTGGCTTAGGGGCAGGTTCACTCAAAGCAACTAACGGTGACTTAGTTAACACCCCTATGGCCCGCTGCATACAGATGAGAGACAAATGCTTGGAATCACCACCACTCTGTAGGTGCCCCTCAATAAAAATCATCCATGCTTGGCAAGCTGGATTGTCCACATCTGTCTTTGAGCTGTCCTGTTGTTCCACTTCAGAGGATAAAGGTTCTTTTTGTTCGCTTGCTTGTTTTAATCATTTTTAATTTTGTGTGCATTGGTGTCTTACATGTATGCCAGTGTGAGGGTGTAGATACCTTTGGAGTTACAGACATCTGTGAGGTGCTATGTGGGCTGGGAACTGAACCTAGGTCCTCTGGAAAGCGAGTCACTGCCAGACCTGCTCCCCAGGCTAGATTATGTCGTCCAGCTTTTATGCTGGGGGAGGAGCTTGGTCCTGCCTCAACTTCATGCCCCTTTCTGAATGGAGTCAGAGGAGGCCTGGATGGAGAAAGGGTAGATGGGAGGGGGAGGGGACAGGAGGAAAAGAGGGAGAGGAAACTCTGGTTGGTATGCAAATCAAATAAAAAAATGTTAAATAAAAAAAGCACTGCCTGTTCTTCCAGAGATCCTGAGTTGAATTCCCAGCACCCACATGGTGGTTTATACCATCTGTAATGAGATCTGATGTCCTCTTCTGGTGTGCAGGCATGCATGCAGACAGAATACTATATACATAATAAATTAATATTTTTTTTAAAAAGACAGGGCTTCTTGGCTGTCCTGGAACTCACTCTATAGATCAGGCAGGCCTCAAACTCAGAGATCCACCTGCTTCTGTCTTCATGTGCTACCACTGCCAAGCTTAATTATTGATTTTTATTTTATGTGCATGGTGTTTGCCTGCATGTACATATGTTTGTACACCATGAGCAGCATTGCCTATGGAGGCCAGAAGAGGGCGTCAGACACCCTGGAACTGCAGTTACAAATAGTTGTGAACCACCATGTGGGTGCTGGGAATCAAGACTGGGTCCTCTACAAGAACAGCCAGTGTTTTTAACCACCAGGCCACATATGTCTTCAGCCTCTGAGATGCTTCTTCACCTATCCTGGGAATTCACGCTCAGTGATCATATTCTCTGGTCATAAATGAATAAACTTGCAAATTTTCAAACTAAAAAATATTACTTCTAATAATTAAGAGTGGGGGTTAGAGGAGCTGGGAAGACAGTTTAACAGGAAAAAGTACTTGGTGTGTAAGCATCAGGACCAGAATTTGGGCTCCAGTGGGCCAGCCTGGTCTAAAGAGTAGGTCCAGGACAGTGGGCCAGCCTGGTTTAAAGAGTAGGTTCCAGGACAGCTAAGGATACACAGAGAAACCCTGTCTTGGAGGGGGAAAAGCCCAGTGGGCACAATGGCCCTCCTGTAACGCTAGGATTCAGGAGAAGACAAGAAGAGCAAACCGATTAGCTAGGCTAACTAAAGCCAAAGCTCTCTGGTTCAAGTGAGAGACCTTGCCTCAATACATGAAGTATACAGTGATCATGGGAGATGCTCAGTGTCAATCTCTGGCCTCTATCCACAAACATACATGCACATTTGTACACATATGTATGTCTACACGCATGAATACTTATACACAGTCATGTACACCAAACACATGCAGAATTTACAAAACAGAATATGGACCAGAGCTTGAAGTGAGGCTTGTTGGTAGACCGTTCGCTCAAGGTCCTAAGTTTTGTCTCCAACACCATAACAAAGGCAGAGGGTGTGGTGGGGGGCAGTTTGTCCAAGTGAGCAACTCATGTGTATGTGTGTTTATTAGCTGAGGTGTCAGCCATTTGTGCTGCCCACTAGTGAGTGAATGGAGACCTCATGGCACCAAGGGCGACTGTCTGGTGTGACTGTGGAGGAGATCAGTCACAGCAAATGGCAGCAGGGAAACTCACCGTGGGACACTGCGAATTCTTAAACATAACCTTGAACTTAGTCTGGACCTCTCCTGGGATAACTGGGGTGAAGATAATGGGTATTTTGACGGAACTGAAGGGGCCGATTTCTCCCTCTGTTACCTGTGTAAGAAGAGTACCATGGGGTCAGAACGTGGACATCACGGTTTTTCTTAGGGAATTTTCCACTAACCCTTACTCTTGCCACCACTGCAAGGATGGGTGGTAATAGGGCCATGTCCTGGGGGTGTCCATTTGGTCACACACTGGTATTAGCTCTAAGGCTGGCCCCGCTCTGGGGTGCTTACTGCTATGGAGTCCCAACAGAGTGGGGGTTAGGGGATTCACTCAAGCAGTGAGCCACCTGTGTGCTCTCCACAGACCCTCAGGCTGCCACAGAGGTCAGGCCTTTTCACCAGCATGAGAAACAGGAAGAGCTTGGTAGGAGGGCTTTCTATCTAGTGTATAGGATACAGAAGTCTCTACTACCCTACTCCATCTCCAAGCCCTGGAGTTTCAAAGATCCCATGCCTGTCTAAGGCTCACAGTTCACTTGAACTGGAGCAAGAAAGGCAACCTGATCTTTCTCTGCATCTTCCTCCTCCAGTTTGAACACACACCACATTTCAACTAGGGAGGATCATTGTTAGTGTTCTCTCTAAGCTGGACTACACAGAGGGAATTGTCCCTGCTACTCTGGTCCCACCTACTCTCAATATGGGGAGGGGATACCTTGATACTAGTTGAGACCACAAGTGCCTGGAAATTGTGGTTTAGTCTGGCTCTGGACAGATGAGAGAGCCCCCGAGAATACTGGCTAGGACTGGAGGAGGATGAGCTGCCTCCTGGTTAGAAGAAGCCAAAGTTTAGCAGGACAGGCTGACTGACCTCTCCCAAGGTTATCTCTGCCTGTTCCTCACTGGGAGCCATGGTTATGACACTGGCCGCAGGTATAATTTCTGTTTCTGGAAGACAATTAAGATTATATTAATAATCAGTCTTGGGAAAAGTCTAAGATTTTCAGATTGAATCAACTAAAAATGTATAAGACATACTTAGTGCAAACTCTGAGCCACTGCTAAGGAAAAATAAAGATGACTCAACTCATTGGGTCATCATCCTTATGGGTTGAAGACTCAATATGCAAGACATTATTTCCAAGCTGATGACATATTCAAAGTTATACCAATCACATTCATGAAAGGCTTCTCCCCTTGTTTTGCTTTTGTCTTTCTTTCTTTTTCTTTCTTTCTTTTCCTTCCTTCCTTCTTTCCTTCCTTCCTCCCTTCCTTTCTTCTTTCCTTTCTTTTTTCTTTCTTTCTTCCCCCAAGATAGGGCTTCTCAGTAGCTAGGAAGCCTGTCCTAGAACTCACTCCATGGACCAGGTTGGCCTTGAAATCACAGAGACCCACCAGCCTCTGCTGAGATTAAAGGTTTATGCCACCACCGCCCTACTGTTTTTCTTTTTATTAAGACAAGGTCTGGCCTAGCTCAGATTGACCTTGAACTCAGTGACCTTGAATTTCTGATTCTTTTGCTTTTCAGGTGTTGGGATTATAGATATGTATCAATATACCAACATGTCTGGCTTTGAGTGTGTGTGTGCATACATGTGCATAGAAACCAATAAATAAATTTTAAAATGTATCCAGAAATGCAAGGAATCAATATAATGAAAGAATGCAAGCAATTACTTTGAAAAAAGGAAAGCTGAGTAGAAGAAAGTCATGTACTTCATGACTTCAAGACTTAATCTAATTCATAACAACTAAGGAAGTATATTAGACAGGATAAATCAATCAACTAGTTAAAACAGAGAGCCTAAAGGCATTCCTCCCAGATGGTCAATAGATTACTGGCATAAGTAATCCATCCATCCAAATGTATATTCCTTTGGTTGTTTTGAGTTCGAGGTTAGCCTGGTCTACAGTAAGAGTTTCAGGAAAGCCAGGGCCATACAAAAAAAAAAAACCCTGTTTTGAAAAAACAAAACAAAACAAACACACAAGCAAAAAAGAAAGAAAGAGAGAGCGAGAAAGAGAGAGAGAGGAAGGAAGGAAGGAAGGAAGGAAGGAGAAAAAGAAGACAGCAGGGAGGGGTGAAAGCAGCTGAAGGCAGCATCCTCGGGTGGAGAGTGTCTGCATTAAAATAGGGCCAGTGCCTCGATGTTGTTTTTTTCTTGTATTTTATTTACATTGGTGTTTTGCCCGCACATATGTCTGTGTGAGGTGTCACATCCCCTGAAACAGGAGTTACAGACAGTTGTGAGCTGCCATGTGGGTGCTGGGAATTGGAACCAGGTCCTCTGGAAGAGCAGTCAGTGCTCTTAACCACTGAGTCATCTCTCCAGTCCTGATCAGTTTTTAAAACTGTCTTTGTGTGCCAGGTGGTGGTGGCGCACGCCTTTAATCCCAGCACCCAGGAGGCAGAGGCAGGAGAATCTCTGTGAGTTTGAGGCCAGCCTGGTCTACAAGAGCTAGTTCTAGGACAGGACAGACTTCAAAGCTACAGCGAAACCCTGTCTCAAAAAACCAAAACCAAAACCAAAACCAAAACAACAACAATAACAAAACCCAAAACTGTCTTTGTGTATCATCTGCACTTTTCCACAGCTGGCGTGAAGCAAATGCCCTCCTCAGCCTCGGAGACTGGTGAGGCTGATAAAGACCAGCACCTGCAGGGACCACTTCACAGGCAGAACCTTCAAAGCCCCCACTCCTGTACACAATGTGACTGTCCGCATCTGGGGCTTCTGTCGATTCTGTTAGCTTCAACACAGAGTTTCAGTGAACCCCACAACCAGTGCATGTTTGCATCCATGGGGATTGTCTGCATCTATTATCACAACTGAAGCCCTGAGAAAGCTCTGCACCTTTGACCCTCTCAGTTGAGATGCTGACTCTCTGACCCCTGTGGTTGACTGGGGTTCTAAGGTGGCTGTGCTGAGAATGACTCTTGGATGGCCACCTTTGGGAGGCCCCTGTGTCCATGCCAGTCCTCTCTGAGACCTACTCAGCACTCAGCTGAGGCCACATTTCCTGGCTGGTTCAGGAATTAGTGCAGGAAGTTTGAAGTAGGTACCTGCTACCCACGCCTAAGCCTCCCCAACCCTTACCATCTTTCTCGGATTCTTTTCGGCTCTGGATGTCCACTGGGGAGGATTCATTGATATCAAGCTGTTGCTCAGAGAGGCTGGTAATGATCTTCTCATAGAGACTTTTGTCCTCACAGGTGTAGAGGCTGCTCTGAAAGCAAATTCAGAGACTTCATTTCGCATTCAGCTTCACAGACACCCTTGTCACCAGTGAGTCCAGGAGAAGACACAAATGTACTTGTGCCCAGGACTGCTGCCACCCCTTCTCCCAAGTCTCTGCTCTCATCTGTCTACTCTGGGTCTTTAGACCACAGCTTCAGCAGACGAATCCTCTCTGTCATCAGCTTGGATGTCCCATTGTAGACCCCACCATGAAGAGCGGAGTCTACCCTGTTTACACTCTGCTTGGTCACTTGCCCAGAGGCTGGTTCTACTCTAGCCTTGGTTGAGTTGACTCTCCTTTCTCCACAACTGTTTAGAGGCAGAATTTACAGATGCCCCGCTGGGCAACCCACTTACCTGCCCAAAGCAAGCCTGGCTCCCAGTCCCCCAATCCACTTGCCCTGCTCTCTGGTTCTGACCACTGCCCCACCTTTCCCTCACAGCAGCTTGCTCTCCATACTGCCTTGGCCATGGCTGCCCATTGGTCCTGTCACCTCCTGGGTAAGATGCTTTCTGGGGTCTTTGTTGGGGCACCTCAACAGAGCCAACAGGATTGCTTCATGCTTCTTCTAAGGATACTCAAGTATTTTAGAAGCACATAAGAGGCACATCTTTAGATCATCTTCCCCAAATGATCCCACAATCCATGAGCGTGGTGGTTCTTGAGCAGGACCCCTAGGCTGTTGCCATTCACTGTGGCCCATGCACAGTCTTCTTGGGAAAGGCAAAGGCCCTTTTCATACTCTGGGAAGAGATCCACGGTTTCCCAAGGAGCCTTTTCAGGGTCTTCCAATGCTCCTGCTCTCTGTGTGACACATGCTTTAAGGGAACCCCATCCTGATGCCACTGCTCCTGAGACCAGACTGCATGTGTCCTCCCTGAAGCCAGATATTTTTGCTCTCACTGATGAGAGGCTGTCTTGACATTTTCCTCTTCCCCCCTGATTTGCTGAGTCTCATTGGCTCACACATTTGTGCACACATGACTGGGAGGTTCCCCACCCATCCTGACTGAGCAGAACTGCGGAACCCATGGTCGCCACAAATGCTCACTATTTTCATGATGGGTTGGGGTTCTTCCATCTCAAAGAACTCAGAATCCGGGAGAAACTTGAATCTGGTGCCCAGGCCCCCAACATTGGTCAGTGTGATGGTCCGGGATGTGGTCTCACCCACCACATAGCTGCCAAATTCAATGAGTTCCTTGTCAAGGGACAGCTGCCAAAGAACACAAGCGTAAGCCATGGTGGCCTCGAGGCTGGTTGCATGCTCAGTAATAAATGACGACTGTGAGCCGCCATGTGGGTGCTAGGAACTGAAGCTGGGCCCTCTGCAGGACAACAATACTCCTGAGCAAAGCTATTACTTAGCAAAGGACCAAGGGTACAATGTGACCAACTGTCTCAGTCTCCTGCAGCCATGATGGCCCCGTCATGAGGGACCAGATCCCCAGACCAGAGCCAGAGAAAGTCCTTCTTGCCTCAAAAAGACAATCGTTCCCTAACCTACATTTAATGCAAAAGAATGCAGGGACAGAGGGACATAGTAAATGCAATGATAGGAAGCAGTTGTACAAATCTAGGAAGTCCTATAAAAGAATTGGCTTAGTAAGTTTTATGACCCAAAAGAGGAAAGGGGGCTGCTATCCTAGGCCAAAACATGCTCACCAATGTAATAATCAGGTGTAATCTCAATGACATAAAAATAGCAGCCATTGAAACGTAGTTTGGAGACAGTGGGACACACGTGATGTGAATAAGCATTAGGCGGTAATCGGGAATTCTGCTAGCCGCTTGGTGTCACACACAGACTATTATCTCAATCCTTCGCACTCTCTCTGCTCCCACGTTGCACTGGAGAAGGTCTCTCTCTGCCTCGCTCATTCTGAACGTGCTGGTGCTGCCGGCTGTGATGTCTACATTTTCAGTCACTTTCCATGAGGAGTTAATATATGGTGGACGCCGCTCCAGAGGCCAAAAGGCCATGGTGAGATAACCGGGGCAGAGCCGCCTGGCCCAGTCAGCCTGACCTTCTCAGCCCACGTCAGTCACCTCACAGTGAACCTGCGGGCTCACAAGCACATGCAGCACTAAAGACACACTACAGTCTATCACGAGTACTGAGGATGTGTGCTGTGGGTATCATTGTGGAAACAGCCAATGATATGGTGGATGTTGTCTAGAAATGCCAACATTTCTTGAGGGTGCTGAGTCTGATAACTTAATTTACTCTGAAGCAAAGGATGAAGCCAATGTGGCAGATGCTGAAGACGATCAGATGTAGATAGTGGACACATGGGGGCTCACTGCATGGCTATGGTTTTCATTATGCTTGTAGATTTACAATAAAAGCATATGGGGCTGAGAGATGTTTCAGCCATTAAGAGCACTGGCCACTCTTCCAGAGCTGAGCGCTAGTCCTAGCAACCATCCTAGAGGATCTGGTGCCCTCTTCTGGTATAACATTGTACATGCAGGTAGAGCTCTCATGCATAAAATAAAAAATAAATCTTTAAAAAAATATCTGAAAGCTGGGTGTAATGGTGCACATCTTTAATCCCACCACTCAGGAGGCAGAGGCAGGCTTGATTTCTCTGAGTTCGAGGCCAACCTGGTCTACAGAGTGAGTTCAAGGCCAGCCAGAGCTACATAATAAGACCTGATCTTGAATATTTATATATACTGAAGGACACACACAAGAGTTGAAGAAAGGACTGGCATCTCAGATGGCTCTCCTCCCCTCTGAACTCTGGGCTTCTCAGTCAGGGGCCCCATACAGAGTAGGGCTTATCTAGAAATTTCTAGCTCTGGTCTGATGACTCGCTTTTTCAGAATACCTCATGTCAGCCAGCCTAGGCCCGGGGTGGAGTCTGACTAGAGCGGACACTGGGCCGAGGCCTGCGGTGGTGCTCTAGCCCCATGCCCTGGGTGCTCCATGCCCTGGGTGTTCTACGCCCTGGGTGCCCCATGCCCTGGGCACTCCTAGGGTGCAGCCTAGAACAGACACTGGGCCAAGGCCTGTGGTGGCGCTCTAGCCCCATGTCCTTGGTGCTCCTAGGGTGCAGCCCTTATCATGGGGAGGGATTCTGAGAACTTAAACTTACAGAACATTTCTTCGTTGAACATTTCAGTGGAACAGAAAAGCTGCCTGTCTGAGCCAAAAATGAAACATTTCCTTCCAGATCTTTATTTATCTAAAAAACAAAACGATCCAAGTCACTATGAATTTCTACAATGACACAGTTACGCAGGTCGCAGCAGTGTAACTACCTACAGGTTGGCTGCAGGTCGCAGCATGTAACTATGGGTTGGGTGTAGGCCACAGCGGTGTGACTATGGCCTGGACGCAGGCCACATTGGTATAACTACGACCTGGATGCAGACTGCAGCGGTGTAACTACGACCTGGATGCAGACTGCAGCGGTGTAACTATGACCTGGATGCAGGTCGCAGCTGTGTAACTAAGGGCTGGACGCAGGCCACAGTGGTGTAACTACAGCCTGGATGCAGGCTGCAGGGGTGTAACTATGGGCTGGACCTGTCTACCACCAGCTCACTGGGCTCCCAGGGAAAGAACTCAAAGCCCGCTGCATACGCAGGTACTGAAGACACACACTTCACAATTTACGGAGAGTTACTTGCATAAGAGTGAAGACCAAACCTTCCAGCAAGCCCAGTTGTGCTAGCATTGCAGAAGGATGCTGAATTTGTTGTTAAGCCAGAAAAAGCAGCACCCTGTGTGATCCTCTGACATACCATAGGCTTGAAGGTGACCAGAACTTCACAGGACATCCCGGCTGACATGGGACCAGGGGGGTCAAAGCTGCAGGAACAGCACACACAGGGTAGTTAAGTCACTGTGGAAAGTGGATACTTGTTACGTGTTCAGCTGGGCCTTTAGGATTCCCTTCTCTCTATCTGTTCCACAGCTGTGCTGCTGGTTTTATGTCCACTTGACACAGGCTAGAATCATTTGAGAGACAGGAGCCTAAGCTGAGAAAACGCCTCTTGGCATCATTTTCATTAGTGATGGTATGGGAGGGGCCCGTAGGCGGAATCCTCATGGCCTCTGCCTCAGCACCTGCCTTCAGGTTCCTGTCGTGTGAGTTTCTGTCCTGACTTCCTTCGGTGACGAACTGTGATGTGGAAACCTTGTCCTCTCCAAGTCACTTTTGGTCGTGGTGTTTACATGAGCAGCCGTGGCCCTGAGACACCTCTACCTAGACGTGTTGGCCCACGAGCAGTCATGGCCCTGAGACACCTCAACCTAGACGTGTTGGCACACGAGCAGCTGTGGCCCTGAGACACCTCTACCTAGACGTTTCGGCACACGAGCAGCCGTGGCCCTGAGACACCTCAACCTAGACCTGTCGGCATGCGAGCAGCCGTGGCCCTGAGACACCTCTACCTAGACTTGTCGGCATGCAAGCAGTTCCAGGTCTGCTGTGTTCCTTACTGACTCAATTTCCTGATAAACAGGAGATACTGGGAGAATCTTCAAATGTTTGCCCAGTGAGCGAGCCGGCACATCCCCAAAGCCAACTACGAAAGGATGGAGGCTGTGGGCTGTCACTACCCTGGGGACGATCGCATGAAGGGAAGGGCTGTAAGTCAGGTTATCCAGTAAGACTGGCCCCCAACTGCAGGGGAACAAGATGGGAGCTAATCTGTCTTAGTCTGAGTCCTGGGTGAGCGAAAGGGTCTTCCTAGCATCAGGCCTATGCTTACAATGTTGGATTTCACATAATTTTCTTGGTTTGGAAATACACAAAAACTTAATATAAAAATGTCTCTAGGTGATGGGGAGCTACCTCAGTCAATAAACCTCTTGCTATGTATGCTTAAGGACCAGAATTCAATCCCCAGAATTTGAGAAGAAGCCAGGTGTGGTGGTATATACTTATAATTACAGCACTGAGGAGGCAGAGACAGGAAGATCCCTGGGGCACTCGCCCTGAAGACTAAGTGGTAAGAGGATCAGAATCCAAGCTGTGTATGTGTGGGGTGTTCATGGACCAACTCAGTGAGAAACAGGGCCAAACTCTAGAACATAGTAAAGTTATAGAGATACAAAGTCACAGGAAGAAAGAAAAAGACACTTAAGAAAAGGCATACACACACACACACACACACACACACACACACACACACACACACGAGACCAAAAGAAATGGTAAGTGGTAAGTCTGGAAATCTTAAAATAAAAGTTATGGCTGGGCAGTGGTGGCTCACACCTTTAATCCCAGCATTTGGGAGGCAGAGACAGGTGGGTCTGTGAATTCAAGATGAGCTTGATCTACAGAGTGAGTTCCAGGACAGCCAAGACTACATGAAGAAAGAAGAAATCTTGTCTCAAAAAACCAGAGAGAGAGAGAGAGAGAGAGAGAGAGAGAGAGAGAGAGAGAGAGAGAGAGAAGAAATGTCGGCTCATCTGAAAAAGAACTAGGAATTTTTAGAAATGAGAAACGTAGTACTGAAACAAGACACACAGTCAGCAGCTTCTGCAGCCAGCGAGGAACAGCTGAAGGGACCAGAAGCTGGGCCTCCTCACACACTTCATGAATAGGCCGAGTGTGTGAGGCAGGTGCCATAAGGACAAGGAAACTGGAGAGGGAGGCTCCACATGGGAGGAGCAGGGCAGAGACAAAGCAAGTCGTGGGGAGCTGAGTAGGGAGAGCTGATGTTTGCAGGGTAAGGATGAACCATTTTTAGAACTGCTCAAAGATATGAACCTCAGCTCCAAGAGTACAATTCATGTAAAGAGGACCAAGCATCCCAGGTATGCTGCAGTGGAGCTGCGAAACACTGAGGGCCAGGAGCTCAGTGCAGCCAGAGGAAACTGAGAAACATACTAGACAGAGTCACAGCCACAACAGCAAAAGACACCAGAAGACAGAAATGGACTCTGGTCTTCGAATGCGGAGAGAAATTTTAATCTAGGCCTGGAAAGGAGGGCTTTGTGGTAGCTGAGGTCATAGTGACCACCACCCAGCCCACGGGACAAGTGACTCCGCATTGCTAAAAGACAGAGAAGCTCCCAGATCTCAAATTAACACAGTTTGTAAACTGCTAGAAAGAAGGAGTAGAGGACCAGAAGATCCCACTGTCCCCTCTCACTCAGTTCCCAGGAGGACAGCACCTCTTAGGTGGGAAGCCCTGATCAGAGCTTTGCCAGCCAGTACAATTTATGGAGAAGAAAGAGAGCCCTAGAACCTGAGCAGAGGAGTCAGGGAACAATTTATATTAAGCCCTCATTTCAGAAAATGCATATCACACACTAAGAGATGCAGGTGATTTGAGCTGTGAACAGACCTGCCCATAAGCTGAATACCATGAAACATACCTGTCGTGAGGGAGGAGGATTGCAGGTCTGAGAGACCAGCCTAGGGTGCAGAGCAAGACTCTGGTTCAAAAATAACAAAAAGGAAAAAGGGGGAGAAAGAAAGACGAAGGTCAGTGCTAAGAAATAAATCAGAAAGTGCTGAAAACATTGCAAGGTGAAAAAACGGGTGAGGTGGGAATGGAGAAAGAACAGCATTAAAGGTAATGATACTGATACAGGAAAATGATACTGAAAAGGCCAGCCAAGAAGTGACAACATGTGCATAAGAGGATTCTTAGAAAAGGGGAAAAAATGAAACACTTGCACAAAGAGGAAAATAAATTATAGTTCAGAAAAGCAGTCTCGGAATCTTCATAGCGAGAAAGATGCTAGCTGCCAACCGGGGCTACTACAGTGCCCAAACCCACACAGTAAAAACGTGAGGAGTCTCAGCCCATCCAAAAGACCACACAGGTCTTCGTGACTTCAATATTAAAAGACGGAGCAGTGACCTCGCCAAGTCTTCAAGGCAGGTCGGCCCATGGACTCATGCCTCGACTCTGCAAGACTCACTCAATATGGATGAAGTCCTTCAGGTTCTCCTCCACACCCACCAGCTTACAATAGTTGATTGTGTAAGTAGCATTGATCAATGTGATCTTCTTCTTGTACACTTTGCCAATATCAAATTCCTGCAGAGACAGAGGAGACAGGATGGCCCCAAGTCCGCCAGCAGCCCCGAGAACAGGCCAGGGAAAAGGGGTCTACTCTGGTACTGACTCACGAGAGGCTCAGGAGAGGGAACGGACACACAGGGTGTTTATCTTAGCCTCCCTTCTGTAAATGCTGACACTAGCCAGCTGGTGGTGGGTGCTGGCGTCCTTGGGGCCCCTCTTAAGAAGGTGGGATTACTTGTTATCCCCTTCACAGGAGTTCAGGCCCCTTTAAAGGTACGCCTGGTGCCCGCTCCTTAGGCTGGCAGCGCAGCCCTTGCATACCAACCCCAAAGCAGGCGACTTCTCAAGGTTTCCCAAGGTCAGAACAGAAAGTGTCAGAGGCAGGAGAGTAGATGAAAGGCTTTTTTCCTTGATCATGGCTCACCTTGAAGTGAATGACCTCGGGCTTGCTGTTGAATGGGCGACCCTTGAACTCCCTCCCAGAGACCACCTGCTTATGGACCACCCCACTGCGCAGCTGCTCCATCGTGCGAGCCAGGATGTCCTTGTCCATCTTGGTGCCGCCCAGAGGCTTCTGTTCCATGTCCTTCTTGGACACCTTGGGTTCAAAAAGACAGACAGCCATGCTTGTTCAAAGCCTAATAATGAACAAAGTGCAGGGCCAAAGCTGGCAGATCCAGGAAAGGCTGGCTACAGCCCAGTGCTTTTGAAGATTATGGAAAGGGGAGCAGGACTTCGAGTCCGAAGGAAGCAGTGGCAGGCACAGGATGGGGCAGAAGACGGGCAATCGCATCCAGGAACCTGGAACCTCAGTGTGGTTCAGGGTTACTCCCAGTGAAGGACCTGACAGAGGAAAACTCTCACCTGGTGTGCCTTGTACTCTTTGCTCCAAAGCCCTGGGATATCTGGTTCAGCCAGGACCTCCTCCTCTGTACTAATGCTCCCCAGGTCCATCTGCACAGACTCACTGGATATGGCTTTCAGCAGACAGGTAGGCTTGGGGTGTAAGGCCATCTCACTTTCCTGCCAGTGGAAGAGATAAGCTCACTGCAGAATCAAGAAGGAATAGGTGAGCAGCAAGAGAACCGGTCCCTGGGGAACCCTGTTGGGCGCTTGGCCTGACGACCCCAGTGTAGTGGGAGGCTGCTTGTTGGTTCCCCGTGTTGTTGTTGTTGTTGTTATTTCTTCTTCTTTTTGAGAGACAGTCTTTCTATGTAATTCTGACTGTCCTGGAACTCACTATGTAGACCAGACTGGGCTTGACCTCACAGATATCTACTTGCTTCTGCCTCCCCAGTGCTGAGATTCAAGGAATTCTTTTGTTCTTTGCAGAGACAATTGTGCACACACAAATCCTTGTAACTTTAAAATACACCATCCTCATGACTACGGATGACTGAACGCCTTCCAGTGGTGTTCAGCAGAGCTCACAAGAAGGCCTTGTTCATAGGAAGATACTCTGAGTAGTGGGCCTGTTGTAATTGTCCCTAGTGTCCCATCACAGATACTCCTTGTGTTAATTTCATGATAGATGGCACACCAGCCCTGGGGAAGTCCTGTGAAGACTCAGAAAATATGGTGGTACTGGTTTTACTGGAACCGTCTTGGGGTTCAGGACTCATGTGATTGCTCTGTACTATACTTGTAGGGTACACCATGGGAAACGTGGAGGAAAGAAGGAGGACACTGTAAACCCTAGAGAGCAGATTAAGGCTGGGGTACAGGAGCTCCAGGAAAGTGAGTGACTCAGGGTGGCCGGGAAGGCCTCTCGGAGAGAGAATGGAAGGAGGAGCAGATGTGGCTCCAGGGAAGGACGCTGCACCACAAGGAGAAGTGACTGAGAGGTAGAGGTTCCACCTGGCACACAGAGAGGCGAGAAACAGGAAAAAGCCTATGATGCACTAAAATGCTCCAGAGGCCAAAGCCCAGGAAGCCCAAGAAAGCAGCTGGTAGAGAATGCAGGGTGCTGGGCTAAGGAGCACCCAAGGCTCTCACACCTTGAAGAAGAGGTAAACCAGCCTAGGGTGTTGTCTAACACAGACCACTGGCTCAGACCAGGACTTTGGTGTGACTGAGAGGAATCCTCAGCCTTCAGGAGGCTCTAGGAATACCTGGCAGTGGGCAGTAACACCTGTATGGACTCTGGCTTATACCAGTCTCTTCACATGAGACTGACTCCACTTTGTACACAGGGACAGATGAGGAACTTTCCCCTACCCATAGAGAGGCAGCTTTGTGGGACTCTAAGAGCACCGTTGGCTAAGATGAGGAACTCACACGAGGGAAAAAGGACTCTGGTGGGTATCAGAGGGCCATTACCCTGGGGACCGCGTTCAAGTGCGACCGAAGCCTGAAAACAGCAGTGCCCTACTCACCAGCAGGTGACTGGAGGGTGTGGCAGGCTTCCCCTCGCAGAAGTCGGAGATGTACTTCCAGGTCTTGTTCCGCAGAGTCCATCCGTCTCTGGCTTTACAAGGTGGGTGCTGTTTCTTTTTCCTGTTTCCTTCCTCAGCTTCCTCTTTCAAGATTCGACTTACAATCTCCTGCTTCCGGAGTTTCTGCTCCTCTTCAAAAGCCCTACGAGCAGGTTCTTCTCAGGTAAAGCCAGGTGCTTCCCAGCACCTGTAAGGGGGCACCTAGTAGCTGCTAGGGTTAAGTATGGTGTTTCTTTTTGCTCTCTGGCTCCTTTGCAAGAGCTCATGCAGAACCTTCAAGGACTCTGGTGTTAGGACATCTGCTTGGATGGAGAGTATAACAGAGAAGGCTCACAGGGCTGCTAAGCTGCACATGTGACTTGGGTCCTCACCTTACCATACCCTGCCTTGCCCTGTCTGGCTTTGAACTGCCTCATTCAGCCCAGTCTAGAAGTCCCCACAGCAAACTCTGGCCTTCGTGAGCTTCTCTGCCCTAGCTTCTAGGCTTGTGGTTTAAGAGACGCAGCAAAGATAAAAGGCAAGGGCAGCATTAGGGTTTGGTGACAACTGACTCACTCATTCACAGATTCATTATAGCCAGCCCTTGCTAGGTACCACTCAGGCAACAAACCTACAACCACATCAAATGTGGGAAGACTGACAGGAAACATCAAAACTCTGGTGCAATTGTAGTGGTGTGCCTGCTTGTGTGTGTGTGTGAGTGTGTGGGTGTGTGGGTGTGTGTGTATGTGCGTTTTGCACATCTGTGAGACACTTTGAATAGGAAGATATCTTGTAGCCGGAGAGCCAACAGGCAATATCCAAGCAGATCCTATGCAGTGACCAGCAGGGGTCAGGGACTTGGGAGAAACGGCTTGGCCCTTCAGAAAGGACAGTTTTAGGCAGAGACACTGAGGAGCCGGGTTACATAGAAATTACCTAAATGGTGTGCGTGAGGTGGAAAAGGTCAAGATGAGGTAGAGCTCCTTGAAAACTGTGGGGAAAGCACCAACTCACGGCCTGGAGGTGTGAATGAGCCCCAGGTACCCCCAGGGAGGAGGGAGTCACAGGAACTCAGGAACCTCATAGCTGAAGAACCAGGAAATCAGAAGCAAGGAAAGAGGCAACCTCGCCCATAACAGCCTCTATAAAAATCCCCAAATGCCAGGATCCCATGGAGACTTCTGCAGTCAGGGCTGGGGCGGAGGGTGCTGGAGTTCTTGTCCCTCAACCCACAGCTGCTTTTGGCAAGAAGCTGGCAGGAGTTAGCTTTGCTGCTTTGGGGGATGGAGTTTAAGTCTTTTGTATCTCTGTGCACACTTCCAGGCTCTCCTGGCTCTCACCGATGCTGGGCTTCCAGCTCCTGCTGCCTGCGCTGATGGATAAGGTGCTTGAACGCGTCTCCACCTTGGGCCAGGATCATCTCCTTCTCTACAAGGGCCTTCTGCTTAGCCAGCTCTGCCCTGCCCTGGCCCCATGCTTGAAACTTCTTTAGTGTTTCCTGGAAACAGGGAACTCGAGAGTCACGATACCAGAAAATGCCATGCACACACACGCAGTACTCATTCAGGCCTTTTCTTTGAACACATGTGCTGTGGGACAATGGTCTGTACTCTGGCACCTGTATTTTAGATAAATGCTGATTGGCCAGCAGTCAGGCAGGAAGTAGAGGTGAGGCAACGAGAGTTATGGGAAAAGAGAAGTTTCATTCTGCATTCATCACCCAGGCACAGAGTAAGCAAGATGTGACTGCCTCGCTGAAAAAGATATCAAACCAAATGGCTAACACAGACAAGAATTATGGGCTAATATAAGTTATAAGAGTTAATAAGAAGCCTGAGTTAATAGGTCAATCAGTTTATAATTAATATAGACCTCTGTGTACTTCTCTGTGACTGAACGGCTGCCTGGCTGGGCAGGACAGGGTGGGACAGAAACCTCTGTCAATATGCATGCATTCAAATCAATGCTGAAACCTATAGGTCCCAAGGTTGGCAATTTGCAAACACTTTTCATAATTTTCCCTGAGTCTCTTGCCCAGCACACAGCCCTGGGTTCGTTCTCTGGGTATGGAATTCTGTGCTTCTGTGCTCATGCTGGGCACCCACCGTTTGTTCCCTTGCCCCTGGGTCTTCATAGTTCTGAGCAGGTGGTGCCCTGCTCCTTCCTACCACATTCCTGAGCCCTGGTGCTGGCCCTCACATCGCCCTGGGTCCTGTCATGACTCTTCCTCTGAGATGAGGTCCTCTCAGAACAGAGTTGTGTTCCTGCAGGGAGCAGCTGGGCAGGCTGCAGGGATCATGGCAGGAGCCAAAGGTAGAATTCTGGCTTCCACGAGCAGGTCCCGGGGGGTGGTCAGGGGGTTGATGTGCCCAGAGGCTGCAGGTGGAGCTGCACCTACCCGACTGGCAGTGATGCTGTTCTTCAGCGCCAGCACAGCATCCATGCGCCGTTTCATGTGCTTGCGGGACTCCATCTCCTCCTCCTGCTCTCGCTCTCGAATTCTGGAGTAATGTGCATTTTATTTATTTGTTTTTGTTTGTTTTGAGATGGGGCTCTCTGTGTAGCCCTGGCTGTCCTGGAATTCACTATGTAGACCAGGCTGACCTCAAACTGAGACATCAGTCTGCCTCTGCCTTCTGAGTGCTGGGATTAAGGGTGTGTGCTGCTATGCCTGGTATAATGTGAATTTTAATAGGGATTTATGTAGGTAATGTTGACAATTACAGAGTTATAGGAGTCTCGGGTGCCGGTTACTACTACCAGAGAAAGAACAAGAGCTGACAACACAAAGGTAAGACGGATGAGCCTTGCTGTCCAGCGCCTGGACCTACGGGACAGGTGGCTGGGGACGCTCTCCAGACCCCAGGGCCTCACGGTTGCTTGTGCTCCTCTTGCAAATATAAACAGCAGCTTAAAATAAAAACTCCAGATCTATTTGCTTCTGATGATTAGGTAATGACTGAATCATGGAATTTCAAAGTGAAGGCCAGGAACCCACACTCCTAGATTCCTTAAGGGCATTGACAGAAGACAGAGTTAAAGTGAGAACCCACCTTCCCAGAGAGGCCTTCAGGAACTTCACAGCAATCCTGTGGTTTTTCTGGGCATCTTCCACCAGTTTCTGATGTTTCTGCCCCAGCTCTTTCTGCACATGCAAGGACTTCCTGCAGTGACACAGCAGAGACTAGAATAAGTGTAACATAATGGACCCAGGTATACTATGTTAAACACAGTGCTGCTGGGGGCTCTTGTTTAAGGAAGTCACAAAAAAACAGGGTCTGACCTAGGCTGAGCAGGAGTCTGGCAGAAGAGAGACGAGAGGGACTTGCGTCATTTTGGGCGAGCAGAGTCCAGTGGCCCCCTAGCTCCTGGGGATCAGTGGTTGATCAGAGATAGGGGCTGCCCCAGAGGATGGGTAGCAACTGAGCACTCCAAGGCTTTCGTGGGCAAAGAAGTATCGTGATACGTGACAGGGTCAGAGAACAGCACAGCTCCGAAGGGATAGAGGAATGCGCAGAAGGAAGGGTCTGATGGTTTCATTGGTGCATGTCAGTGGTGACGGTGGACACTTAACATGAAGTAAGGAGCCTGGGCAGGACCACGGCACAGGTGCAAAGAGCTGGGTCTAGAAAGCCTTGGTGGAGAACACAAAGGAACTGGGCAAGGGCCAGGTCTGGGTGGCACTTACTGGGCCCTCAGCAGACGGTTCCTCTCCACCTTCTCCAGGGTTTCTTTTTCCTTCTGAAGCTGCTGAGCTGCGTGCACCTCAAGGCTACTCTGCCTAGCTTCTGCCTCTTCTTCATTACGCTTCCGGACATCCTCAAATTGCCCCTTCTGAATCTCAATGTGCCACATGGCATTCCTTGCGAAAATAAATCATTTGTTCTTTATGGTAGCTAAGGGTTTGAAGACCTGGTGCCACTCCTGTCTGTGAGCTGGGGTGATCCTGCTGGTACTTTATTTTGATAATTATTCTAGGCAGATGATAGACGCTGATGAGGGACCAGCACCCTCCTCTAAGGTTTCCCCTTGGCCCAATATTACCAGAGAATGAGGTCCCACCACCTGGTCTCCATACTTAAGAAAATTACCACCACATCAAATCTAGCCTGAGCTAGCATCTGGCCACAGGCACTCACCTGAATGAGCAGTCAGCTCACTGTAGTGGCCCCCTTGCTGGGCCTGAGGAAAACATTTAGAAAATGTCTTCTGAGAGAGTCACTGGAGCTACCAGGAACCACCCTAAGTCTTCAAACATGCCTGGGAAAAGGCTCAGAGGATGATAGCAGCCAGCCTAGTCCAGGGCGTATCTGGATAATGAAGATCTGTCTAACTCTGGTCTCAGGTGACTCTCACCAACGGCCAGTAAGTACTGCATCTGCGGTGGCTCCAATGCACCCCTCCCTCAGGGTCCCGGCACAAGTTCACATGGCTTGTAGTTCAGCCTCACTTGGGATGAGTAGCAGGAAGGTAAGTACAAAATCATCTTTCCTAGGATGTGGGAAACCATGCACCCACCATGTGCCTCTGCAATGACTCAAGGATGGTTTCCAGCCAATGAAGCTGATGTGTCTAGATATATTACAGAATACTGAACGTGGCTATCTACGAGCATCTTCTGGGACCTTGCTCTGCCAGGAGGACCCTGCTAGACCAGAACTAATGACAGAAGGAGCATGACTCACCATACAACACTGGGAAGCACTAAAGCTGACTTTGTGTATCTGACAGCAAGGCAAATGTCCCAAGTCCGTCCTGTATAGTTATAGATTTTTAATAACTGTGCTAACGTGTATTAAGAAAATTTCCTTCCATTCTTATTTTGTTAATTTTTTTTCAAGACAGGGTTTCTCTGTGTTGCTTTGTAACTAGCTCTTTTTTTTTTAAAGATTGTATGTATTATGTATGCAGTGTTCTGTCTGCATGTACACCTGCAGGTCAGAAGAGGGCACCAGATCTCATAGATGGTTGTGAGCCACCATGTGGTTGCTGGGTCTTGAACTCAGGACCACTGGAAGAGCAGACACTGCTCTTAACCTCTGAGCCATCTCTCCAGCCCTGTAACTAGCTCTAATAGACTAGGCTGGCCTTGAACTCACAGAGATCTGCCATCCTCCGCCTCCCTAGTGCAGTGCTGGGATTAAAGGCGTGTGCCATCACTGACCAGATAAATTATTTGTTAACAAGTCATGACTATGGAGTTGAGTCTACTCTTTCTCCTCAATCAGTTCCATGGTAGTTATAGGAAACCTAGACTAAGAGCTGAGATTCTAGAAGTCTCTCAGTGTTGAGTGGAAGAAGGGGACCACATGTCTGGAGAGAACATGCTATAGAGACTTTGTAGGGAGCGCTCCTTTTAGTATAGCTCCAACAACATTCAAAGTCACATGGTCCTGTGACGTGTGCTAGGGATACAGGTGAGAAACATGGCCTTTAGAAATGGGCTCTGTGCTGGTGGAATCCAAAGAGGCAGAGACCAGCTGGCCTCTTTGGCAGAGACACAGAAAGGTAGGTTCTGTGTGTCTCATGTAGATAGGACAAAAGGCTTTGGGGGCAGTGGCAAGCTGATCTCAGATTCCACATAAACAGACAGAAAAACCACCAGAGACCTTCTCTTGAGTCACCAGTGTGGCAGAGAGAGATGACAGCAAGAGAAGGTTCAAAGAAAAGAGATGCTGCTGGCCCTGGAGAAAGGAGAAGATGCCATGGCCATTTGTGAATTCCCGCTAGGAGTGAATTTGACTTTGTTTTAACGTGAAAAAACATTAAGAAGTAAACAGATGCATCTAGCAGCTCAATCCTGGCAGGGCTTCCAGGGGTCTTGCCTGTCCTGGTTTCAGAACCACCGAGAGAAAGTGCCAATACTAGCCAAGTGTCAATCAAGAACAGTATAAAGTCTCACTTTCTCAGACACGGATGGACTGATTTGTCTCAGCTGTGCTTAGGGTGTTGCCTTGAGTCGTGACCAGTTCTTACAGGTGTAAGTCAGGGACTGGTTTGAGGCTCAAGAGTCCACTGAGGGGGAGGGTAAGACGCTTGGTCTGCCTGTAGTGTGTAGCCAGGAGTCAGCAGTTGTTCCGCTTACTGCCCGGGTTCCTGACACTACCCTAGTCCTCTGAGCCTTCAGTCTGGAGCTTTCCAGCCTCTCCTGCTGCCATATGACAGCCGAGTCATGCTGTGGACCCAGAGTTGGGCAGTAGCCCAGTGGTTCACTGAGCTGTGCTATATTGGGAGCTCTTGTTGGTGTTAACAGCGAACTGTCATATCCCAAAAGAAACTTTTTTTAAAAATGGACTTGCTAGAGGCAGTTTTAGTTTGCAATCTAAACTCTGACCAACAAAATACTTAAAATGATGAAGCTGTCGTTTTCCCTCCTGTGGATGTTTCAGAAAGTTGAGAATACTTTTTCCACCAATGCTAAAGATCAAATTAGGGCTTTTGTGCACTAATCCAGTGATCTATGTCTGAGTCCCAGCCCAAGAGGTACAGGAAATAAGAAAAGGGGGGGAAGAAACGGATCACACTAAATACTAAATCTGAGGAAACCGAGAAGAAAACAGCACGAGAAGCTCCCCTTTCGGCTGCTTTAACACCACCCTTTCTTTCCTAGTCATCTAGAAAGTGAAAAGCAAATTATTCTTCCTACTCAGATTAGGAGTTGTCCCACAAGCTGCCCTGAGACCTGTGTCTGTTAACTGGTCAGAAGCTAACGTACTCGCTGTCCTTCAGCATGGCCGTGATCTTGGACTGCAGATCTTTTTCATTCTCCAGCTCTGCGTGTAGACGTCTGGATGCAGCCTGGAGACGGCCCATCGCAGCCCTGGGGCACACCAACAGAAGAGGGAGGACAGGTCAGCATGGCGGGCTCACAGAGAGCCGAGGACATCCTGGTGTTTTCCCTCGGCTGTCCCATGTTCAGGAGGACATATATGAAGTAGATGACACCTGCGGGGTCAAGTAAGGTGCTTCCTACATCCACCTCCCCCTGGACAAGTAGGACCAAGGTTCGTGGAGGTCGGAGGTCATGGGGTAGGGTTTCTGCTTTCATCACTGGTCACACACTCTCTGCTATTGGCTTCTCACTTTCTCCTAGGAAATTTCTGCTTGTCTGGCCCAGGTCGTGCACCTGGCCAGCATTCTCTCTAAACACTACTAAGGCCTGATGTTCAGGTATTCTGAGTTCACTTTGTCCCTCTTCCCTCCTAGCAGAACAACTCTCTCAGTGTGCCATCCTCTGTCTCTAAATAGATAAAGAAGCGAACAGATAGAAGCACTCTACAGAGAAGCCATTTCCACCACTGCGACCAAGGCTAGAACTTCTGCTTCATGTGCTGTGTGGACTCAGCCTTGTCTCTTCCCTGACCTCAGCACCATGGACTTAGCCTTGTCTCTTCCCTGACCTTAGCACCTTACATCAACATTTCTTTTCTCTCTGTGTGTGTACATGCTCATGCGTGTGTATGTCTGTGGTCAGATGTCAACATCAAGTATTTTCCTCAGCCATTCTCTGCTTTATTCTTCTGAGACAGGCTCTGTCACTGAATCCAGAACTCAGATCCGGCTAGTCTGGATAGCCAGAAGGACCTCTGGATCCTTCAGTGTTAGAATTATTGCTACATCCATGGCTGTCTCGCCAGTGTAGCAGAAATGCTGACTAGGCAGGTAAGTGTTGCTGGAGGATTGGGATCTGTGCTTCTCGGAGCTGAGTCCCAGGTGGTCCCTTGACAATCAGCTGTGGTATAATGCCACCTGAGTTGCCATTTGTACTGACTCGACTTGGAGCCATTTGTCTGTCTTTTCCCTTGTCTGTGTGTTCTTTGTGATCCCTACATATTGCTAACAGATCAGACTATTCCAGGCAGTTGCGGATACGAACAAGACTGCTGAGGAGCTCTGCCCCACCATTCATTAAAACCTTAAAAGAAGTAGCCAGTTCTGGGAATTGGCAGGGTCATCATTAGGATAATTCCTTGATGATGTGGAACAAAAGGAGTTAATTTTACTAGGAAAAACCTTAGAAACCTTCTACAGGAAAACAGTATTAGACATTTACATGCAATTCAACAGGAGGCCTATGCAGCCTTCCTTATGGCCAGAAAACCTAGACTGATAACAACACCTGAGCATCAGGGAGGGAGGAGAGTTGAAAATTCTCTAGCAGAAAACTTTTCCTAGCAGAAAACTTTCCCAGGAAGATAGTAGCCTTCTGCTTTCTCACCCAGACACACAAGGTCACTTAGCTGAGCCCAGCCAGCCACCTGGTGTAAGCTGATAAAGATGGCCTAACAAGAGCAGTGGCCTCTCTAAAAACAAGAAAAAGGGCTGGCTTAACAGAATATGAGGGAGCAAAAGTCCTTGTACCCATGCCAAAGCATCTTCAAAGATTCTCTTTGTAAAACTGTTTTGTGCTGATCTTTTCTATTTTATAATCTGATGATGTATGCCTTTACCAAGTTCTTTGTTTGTAAAGATATAAAAGCCTCACACTGAAAGAATAAAGTTGCAGCAGCATGTCTCAAATACATTGAGAATGGTCTGTCTGTCAATTTCCTCGCCGTATCCTGATTACTCCTGTCCTTCGCCCTGTTTTCCCCATGGTCTGAGTGGCTCCCCTGAGCCGGTCCGTGGCAAATTATAGGTTTGTATTCACAGCTATAGGAGCTGGGGATCAAATTCAGGTCCTTACTCTTGTGTAGCAGCTCCTAGACTGACATTTCTTCTTTCGTGTTATAATAACTGTTTGCCACTCTAGAGAGATGCTGTCTGCTTCTTAACTCTCTGAACATAGCAGGTACTTACTCTCATCCTTGCTGAATGAATGAATGAATGAATGAATGAATGAATGAACCTCTACGTATGATACCATTTGGCCATCGTGGTAACACTTGACGGTTGACGTACATGTTGTTGGCTTCTCTCTCCGCGGAGATCTCAGACGCCAAGCTCTCCTGTTGCTTGTTGAGCAGGTCCATCCTCTGACGACAGACACGCAGCTCCCCTCTGCAACGTTGAAATAAGAATTGCCATAATGTTTTCCTAAGGTTCTAGTCTCAGAAGGGGCCAGTTGTGCAGATGCCTCCAAAGGCCATCAGCCTAGGAAGCCCCGGGGAATACAGTGACGTGAAGGACGCACACAGGCCCCTGAAGAGCACAGGACAGCCGCCAATGACTGCAGCTGCTCCTTGGCGTGCTGCACCACAGACCAAGGCTGCTCCCTGCGTGAGCCCGAATGAGATATTCACTTCTATTACGCGAAAGCAACAGGATGCAGTCTGAAGCCTGAGCTCTAAGGGACCCAGAGGATGACGGACAGCTGCAGCTGGAACTGGTGAAGCCTCTACCCACACGAGGTGTTTTGTGCTGAGGCCACGCAGAAAGATGTTTCTGTTTTTCAGAGACCCTAAAATAGGAGAATCATGATCCTGAAATTTACTTTCAAATGATTCAGCTAAAGAATCACAGCTCTGACACATGTTGACACATATTCAGTGGGGAAAGCTAAACACTGGGCTCTCGTGGTGGCAGCAGGGGACAGCTGCCTACTACAGTCTCCAGCTTTTCTGTCTGTTGGAAAACACACTCAGTATTTCCACTGAATACACTGGCCAAGACCATCAGGACATGAAAAGCAAGAAACTTTCCACTAATGCGTCAGTCACACCTGTAACATGCAGAAACGAGACATCTTGGAGGGCCTGGCAGGACCGAGGAGCACCCTTAGTTATCTGGAACTTGTCTAGATTGAGGGAGGGGACAAGGAGGTGGGGTCCTGGGCACCACATCTGTTCAGGGTTGTGAGGCTGCTCCTCCCTGCCCAGAGCTGTCAAGGAGACAAAAGGCAGGACATCCTATGTGTACAACCAGAAGGAGTGGCTAGGCCAAGGGTCCTCAGTAAGTGAGATCACCTAGTCTTCTGAATAAAAAGGTCCTTTTCCTCATGCAGTTTGTCTAGGAGGTTTAAGCTTTTCCGAAGATGAAATGCCTCGACTTTGTCTTTAATGGTTGTCTTCTTCATTTTCCCAGAGTTCCCTTCCTCTTCTTTTGCTAAACTTGAAAACAAAACAAAACAGAGATAGCACTTGCTTCACACACAAACCATAGCACCAGGCTCTACCCAGAGTGCTCTCCACCCAGCACCTCCACAGCCCACTGCTCTCCACTGCAGTCCAGCAGAAGGAAGGGCTGCAGCTCAAAGAATTACCAGCTGCATCCGAGGGCAGTGGTGTCCTCAAATCCCAGAGGAAGTGGTTCCACCTCAAACTCTGGAGCCTCTAACTGGATTCTCTCTGGAAATCAAGGAAACAGTCAAAACAAAGACAACAAAAGCCAAACTGTAGTCAGAGTGTGGTAGCTCATGCCTATAGTCCTGGTACAGGGGAAAGGGAAGCAGGAGGAGCAGGGGTTCCAGATCAGGTCTAGGAAGTTGGAGGTCATCCTTGGCTACATGAGGCTCTGTCTCAAAATATACAACAACAACAACAACAACAAAACAAATCAGAGGAAAAAGAAAAATATTTCTAAAAAATAGAAAAATAAGATCATGCACACACGCACCCAGGGAACTCTGGGTGTCCCTAAGACTCTTTCGGTCTCTGCTTCCATGACGACACCAACACTGTTCTATTGCTCTCCCAGCCTCCGTTTCCATGACGACACCAACACTGTTCTATTGCTTGTTTTGTTTTGCTTTGTTTTTCAAAACAGGGTTTCTCTGTGTGTAACCCTGGTTATCCTGAAACTCTCTCTTTAGACCAGGCTGGCCTCAAACTCACAGAGATCTGCCTGCCTCTCCTTCCAAGTATTGGGGTTAAAGGCATTCGTCACCACCACCTGGCTCATTGTTGCTTTTTTAAAAATATTTATTTATTTATTATGTATACAATATTCTGTCTACATGTATGCCTGCAGGCCAGAAGAGGGCACCAGACCTCATTACAGATGGTTGTGAGTCACCATGTGGTTGCTGGGAATTGAACTCAGGACCTTTGGAGAAGCAGGCAATGCTCCTAACCGCTGAGCCGTCTCTCCAGCCCCTCATTGTTGCTTTTTTAAAAATATTTTTTCTGTAACTACTGGGAAACCCTGTATCAAAAAACAAAAACAAAAAACAAACAAAAAAACAAAACAAAACAAAAAGTTGTCCCAGCACTCTAGAGGCAGAGGCAGGCGGATCTTTGTGAATTCAAGGACAGCCTGGTCTACAGAGCTAGTTCCAGGACAGGCTTGATAGCTACTGGGAGGTTGCTAGTCTTGAGCTTGCTACTGTTCTCCTGCATCAGCTGGAATTCAAAAGACATTTCCATCAAGCCTAGCTCAGTTTTTTACTTTATTCGTGTTTTGTTTTCATTTGTGTGGGGTTTCAGTATGTATCCTAGATTGGTCTGCAACTCATGACGGTGGACAGAGATAGTCTCACTGTGTAGGCTTGCTGGAGCCTGCCGTGAAGACCAGGCTGCTCCCAAACTCAGAGATCCACTGGTCTCTGCTTCTGTATTGGGATTGATTAATTAATAAACTGTCATGCCTGTACTTTCCCTGGAGTGAGGGGAACTCAAGAAGCACGTGATCTTCTATGCTGAAAAGCGTCTGATTTGGAAAAGGCCTGTTACCGTCGTCCATGGCAGGGAAGTTGTCCATCAGCTCCTCGTCAGAGAACTGGGCAATAGGTTCTTCCATACTGGGAGACAGAAACTAGCTGCAAAAAATTATTACACAATATATATCAACAAGATTATAGATTTAAAACTCCTTAACATTTGTAAGAACTAAGATGCAGTGAGACACACCTGTGGTTTCAGTATTTAAGAAGCTGGGGAAGGGAAGATGTTTGAGACTTACAGTTGTGACATAACAAGATTCAAAATATAAAAAAGGCCTTTCTCTTATATAACACATTAAGAAAATATATAAGCTATAGACTAAGAAAAAGTATTCATAGAAGAAATATTTGGGGAAGTTTGGAAGGCTCAACATCAACAAGACAAAATTACATTTTTAAAAGGTCAAAGGGTTTTATGTTGCAAAGAAGACAGACAAATGGTGAGTAGACCCGTCTGCTCGCATGGGCACACAATGACAACGATTTGGTGTGACAGAACGGCTCAGCAGGGAAGGGCTGCTGCAAGCCTGGTAATCTGAGTTCAGTCCCCAGCACCCAACAGAGTAAGAGGAAAGCTTAGCAGACTTTGGGGACAAATAAGTCACTCCTGATTCAAGCAGATAACCCTAAATGAAATTCTTGAGGTAATCCCTGAAAATTGGCAGCAAGTTGTTGGATTTTATTAAGAAATTACTATTTGGGGGCTGGAGAGATGGCTCAGAGGTTAAGATCACGGACTGTTCTTCTAGAGGTCCTGAGTTCAATTCCCAGCAACCACATGGTGGCTCACAACCATCTGTAATGAGATCTGGGACCGTCTTCTGGCCTGCAGGTGTACATGCAGGCAGAACACTGTGTAGTTAATAAATAATTTTTTTAGAAAGATTTATTTATTTATTATGTATACAGTGTCTGAATGTATCCCTGCAGGCCAGAAGACGGCCCCAGATCTCATTACAGATGGTTGTGAGCCACCATGTGGTTGCTGGGAATTGAACTCAGGACCTTTGGAAGAACAGCCTGTGCTCTTAACCTCTGAGTCATCTCTCCAGTCCAAATAAATAAATATATCTTTTTTTAAAAAAAGAAATAACTGCTTTGTTGGAGTTAATATGATTTTTGTGGGTCGGCTAAAAGTACAGGAGCACACTATGGTTTTCCAAGGGAGAGGAGAGCATGATTGATTGTCTTTGCAGTGTGTCAGCCCAAACGACAACAGGAACACACAGCACTGGTATACTGTGACTGGAATCTAGGGCTCATATTATCCTTCCCCCTGTTCTTTTTAAATTTTCAAGATTTGTTTGTTTATTTTTATTTATTCACTTACTATTGTTATTATTTGTGTGTGCACGTGTGCGTGAGTGCGTGTGCGTGTGTGTGTGAACTCAAAGATGTCTAAAGGCCAGTAGAAGGTTTCAGATTTCCTGGAATTTGAGTTACAGGTGTTGTAAATGGCCCAATTTTGGCACTGGGAATTAAAATTCAGTTCTCTACAAGAGTTACAAATGTCCTTAACAATTCAACCATCTCCCCAGCCTCCTTCTCCTGACTTTTGTGATTATGAAATTTTCTGTGAGAAAAAATGCAAAAAGAATAAAATATAAACAAACAAATAAATAACTAGAACTCAGCTTCAGTCACTGGGGAGTTCCTGAAGTCAATAAGTCAATTTTAGATTCACTAAACTGCATCTGAGTCTCAACAGGGATGTGTACATGTGTGCATACAACAGGACTGTGTACATGTGTAGGTACATGTGTGCATACAATAGGGCTGTGTACACGTGTAGGTACATGTGTGCATACAACAGCGGTGTGTACATGTGTGCATACACAGTGGTGTGTACTTGTGTAGGTACATGTGTGTATACAGCAGGGAACAATAAATCAGAAACCTGCCCAGTGCATTTTAAATATCTGTAGAACAAGGAGCAATGGTGCTGAAGGAACATGAGGGAGAAGTGTCCTACCAATATGCAGACTTATTATGAAGTTACAGAATTAGAACGTGACATGGCAAAGACAAACAGACCTACAGAATCAGATAAGGAATCCAGAAACTTATTGCTAAAGACTGATGCCACTTAGTACAGAACCTCACTGCTCACCAGCAGGACTGGGTGTTTTTCAGGGGGCATGCTTAGAAGCTGGACCCTTTCCTGGAATCCATGTGGATTGAAAGCTCATATGTGAAAAGTGAAACCATAACAGTGGCAGTGACCAAGGAGGAGCCATGACCTTAAGGTTTCTAAATAAGACACCAAGGATATTAGCTATTAGAGAGAATGCTGTCAGAGCTACATATATTTTAATTTAAAATTTCTGATTGGATGACATCCCAAAGACTCAAAAAAGCTATGGGGTAGAAGATAACTGCAGTCCATAACTTAAAAGGTTTACCATCAAGACCATGGAAAGGACCTACTGAGTTCATGTAGAATAAACACAAGCCAAAGTTCTGTAATCAGAGACATTCGGCTAATACATCGGCAACCATATATCCAGATTATCAGCGTGTCTGGCTGCACATCTGTTCTCCTAGTGTTATTAATAGGTTCTCTTTTGGATGATAAACTATCTCGTGATCATAACGTAAGAAAAGTTGTTTAATGTCATCTGTCATAAGGGAACTGGAAAGTTACAGTGAGCTACCATTACACAGACATCAGACTTGGGGGCATAAAGGTCTAGCATGTGCTGGTGAAGACACGGAACATGAAGAGACTGATAAATCAACAGTGAACTGAGCAGTGACTCTTTGGATTAGACATGAGGAGCTAGACATTACACAGGGAAAAAAGAGCAAATCCTTTGCTTTCCCCCATTATTTTTAAATAAATTACTACATATTTTCTGGCTTAAAAACAGCACAGCTTTATCTCATTCTTGTACTGGAGCAGTTCTCAACCTGTGGGCCTTAACCCCCTCCCCCCCCCGTTGGGGGTTGCATACAGATATCCTGCACATCAGACATTACAAGTTATTAACAGTGAATTATGTTATGAAGTAGCAATAAAATTAGTTATGAAGTAGCAGTGAAATAATTCTATGGTTGAGTGTCTTAGAGTTTCTATCGCTGTGAAGAGACACCATGACTACAGCAACTCTTTTTTAATGTTATTTATTTATTTATTTATTTATTTATTATGTATACAATATTCTCAATATTCTGTCTGTGTGTATGTCTGCAGGCCAGAAGAGGGCACCAGACCTCATTACAGATGGTTGTGAGCCACCATGTGGTTGCCAGGAATTGAACTCAGGACCTTTGGAAGAGCAGGCAATGCTCTTAACCACTGAGCCATCTCTCCAGCCCCTACAGCAACTCTTATAAAGGAAAACATTTAATTGTGGTAGCTCGCTTATATTCTGTCCATCTTCATCATGGTGGGAGAAGGCAATGTGCTGGCAGACAAGGTGCTGGAGCTGAGAGTGTTACCTACATCTTGCAGGCAACAGGAAGTGAACTGTCTCACTGGGCACAGCTTGAGCATATAAGAGACCTCAAAGCCCGCCTCCACAGTGACACACTTCTTCCAACAAGACCATACCCACTCCAACAAGGTCATACTTCCAATTAGTGGACATTTTCTTTCCGCTCACCACAGGGGGTCACTACAACATGAGGAATTGTATTAAAGGATTGAGAACCCACAGTCTGGAGCACAGGCGTCTGAGGACCATGGTGTCAGCAGATGTGTGCACAATTCTGCAGGCCAAAAGAGGGCACCGGATCTCACAGATGGCTGTGAGCACCATGTGGTTTCTAGGAATTGAACTCAGGGCCTCTGAAAGAGCAGACAGTGCTCTTAGCCTCTGAGCCATCTCTCCAGCCCAACTGCTGCCATACTTAAGTCAAAATTATCATGATGCCCTCCAAATAGCACTAGCTGATTTTTCTCAGCAAATCATAGATAAAATCACAAGAGTATTAGGTGGGATTGTATTGCTGATTCTGGCTTTGGAGAGCTCCCTGACTTCCCAATTTCTTCTCTCTCTCTCTCTCTCTCTCTCTCTCTCTCTCTCTCTCTTTCTTATTTTCTTTCTTTTCTTTTCTTCTTCTTTTTTTTTTTTGGTGGCAGCATCTCATTATTGCCTTGAATTCACAATCCTCCTGTCTCAGCCTCCTGAAAGCTGGATTATAATAGTATGTTGTCATATCCAGCTTTGATATTATCTTAAGATAAATAGGCATTCACAGAAAGAATGAGTTTGCTTTGGTTCTAGTCCACGGAGATTCTCCTCTTTTTGCCCCCAGATTTTTACCCAGGCTGCAGGGTTCTGTCTGGTCTGCCGCTGTTCAGGCCCACAGGTATAAGCTCCTCCTGTCCCCCAGCCCCTTGGCCTGACAGTAAGCTGCACTGGGCATCACCCTGGGTTTGTCTTTCTCTTCTTTACAGTCTCACAACACTTTGAGGCCAGTCCTGGAACAGCAGGACCATGGTCCTTTTTGGAAGCCAGAGTGTGTGTGGTCTGTCTTCTTGCCTCTTCACTATCGAGAGCCGCCTTCACTTCTTGGTGTGCAGTTCTCGTTCTAACCTGTTCAAAGCTGCAGTGCCAGCTGAGCCAACCATGCTGGAGTCTTTGATGTTCTCTCTACACTCACATGACCTTTTAAGTGTAGCTGCATTGAGCCCACTGAAATGACACAGGATAACTCCTCCATCTCAAAGGCAGACTGGTGAACTACCCCAGTTCCTCTTATCCACAGAACATCCTGTTTTTACTGGTTCAGAGTATTGGAACATTGATGTCTCTGAAGCCACTAGGTTGCCTACCCTAACTTCTGAAGCTATAGGTTCTCTTCTGAAAGGGGCACCCTCTCCTTGGAGCAGACTGCAGAAACCCTCACTTCTCACTTTAGTGTTTCAGGGTTGACATAACAAAACATCCCGACCTGGATGCTTTACATGACAGAAATGTATCCTGACCGTCGTGAAGCCAGAAGTTTATGTTTGTTTCTAAGACAGGGTTCCAGGCTGGGTGTTGGTGGCGCATGCCTTTAGTCCCAGCACTCGGGAGGCAGAGGCAGGTGGATCTCTGTGAGTTCAAGGCCAGCCTGGTCTACAGAGCGAGTTCCAGGACAGCCAGGGCTACACAGAGAAACTCCATTTTGAAAAACCAACTAACCAATGGGCAAATGCTTTCTGTTCAAGAATAAGTTTCTAGGGCTGGAGAGATGGCTCAGAGGTCAAGAGCACTGGCTGCTCTTCCAGAGGTCCTGAGTTCAAGTCCCAGCAACCACATGGTGGCTCACAACCATCTGTAATGAGATCTTGCGCTCTCTTCTGGCATGCAAGCATACATGGAGGCAGAATGTTGTATACATAATAAATAAATAAATAAATAAATGAGTAAATAAATAAATAAAAGAATAAGTTTCTAATCTAAAGATAAGCAAAGATGTGTGGTTACACACGAGTCAGAAATGAGGACCACAGATCTGTGCATAAGGTTAACCAGGAGAGAGGGGTACTGTGTTATGAGTGAAGACGAGGTTCTACTTATTGGCTTGGGCAGGCTTTTGATATTTGCTTGACAATCAGTTCTCAAATTGTACACAAGAAGTTAGGCATGAGAAAAAAAAAAAGAAGTTAGGCATGATTTGTCTGAAGAGAATATCCATCAGTAAGTACTCGAGCATCCACGCATCACCTGGCTCAGTATCTGGCCCACAGCAGACACTCGGGGAGTATTTTGCTAAGCACCTTTACTCAGATAAAGGGATTGTTTTATGCGTAACCAAGCTAAGGAGGTCTATCCATTTCCAACGAAGGGTTCTGTATGGATGTGAGTTTTACTCGCATCTCTCAGATTGTACCTGGTCCTCTTCAGCGAGGTTTGACTATACCGCTTCATAAACTGTGGTAACCACGTGACTCACAGTCATGCGGCCATATAGAGAAGCCAGACACCCATTTCCCGCACACCCCCGGCAGATCGCATCATCGGTACCCACCTCTCTTGTCCAGAAACACGCCTCAGGATGAGACTTCAGCAAAGGTCCCCCAGGAATGAACCGTTGCCCAAACCCCTCCGCAATAGCCCCTTAGTAACAGCCCTTAAAGAATGGTCCCCAGAGACGACCCCTTAGCAACAGCCCCTCCCAAATGAAGCAACTCCTCGGCGATGCTTCCTCTGCGGTGACCCCGAAGGAACAGTTCCTTGACACTAGTCCCTCAGAAATGGCCCCTTAACGGCCGACCGACTGCCTCTCAGCCACCGTGGGTCTGAGGCTGCGTCGTTTGGGCCCACAGCTCCATGGCAACGGGAGGCTGCGTTCTGGCGGCGGGTAGGGCGGTGCTTGCGCTAAAAGAGCCAGCGCGCAGGCGTAGTGCAGCTGTGCTGGCTGTCCTGAGGGTTGAGTTGCAACTGAGGGGTTACCTAGACTATTCTCCTGGAGACTGGGGCAAGCACTTGATGACTTGGCTAAAGCCAGTTGAAACTTAGGTCAACTACTAACTTAAAAAAATAAAAACGTTTACATGAAAGTTGGAAACTCCGGCGTCTCTTTTAAAAGTGAAAGACTGGCGCCGCATGCTTTAATCTGAAAGACTGCTTTCCTAAATCCTGTGCAGTCTGCATCCTGCCCTCTAGGTGGTGACATCTGACTCCTCTGTGTGACCCATAGGACCCTTGTGGGATTGTGTTCGGTCTTTTAGGTTGGCGTTGTCACCAATCTGGGCCCGAGATGGGCACAACGGTGAACAGGACAGGAAAAGACATGGGGGTTACAGGGATGATTGGAAACTGCTTTAGTTTTATTTTGGAGATGAAGAACCTTCAGCTTCAAGAAGTTCTCAAAAAGTACTGTTGAAATCTCAGTGGAGACTTTGCACTCTTTACTCTGGCCAGATAATTTCCCTCTCGTATTGTAAGCTTGAGGAATACTGCTGCAGTACTGTATCAGTCAGTATTGTAGGGGTGTGTGTGTGTGTGTGTGTGTGTGTGTGTGTGTGATGCTGGAGATTGAACCTAGATGTTGTATGTCTGGAACATTGTCTATGGAAGCTGTATGTTCTAGTTTGTTTCCCGATTGCTATGCTGAAGCACTGACCCAAAGCAGCTCAGAGAAGAGAAGCCTATAAGCACCCCGAGCTGTGGGAGTATGTGATCTGAGCCTCCGTTTCCTGGGTTGCCCTTGATAAATGAATGGGCAGGGTTATGAGACAGCCGTATCCACTGCTATAGTTTGAGTATAAAGTCTTGGTCCTCAGGTGATCCAATCATTGCAAGGTGCTCAGATCATGAGGCTTCTAACTTAATCAACGAATCAATCCTGTCAGTTTGATGGCACTATTATATATGGAGGTGTCAGAAAATTAGCAGGTGACAGTTAACTGTAGGAATTCGGTCACTGGAAAAGCTACCCTGGAAAGATATAAATGTCCCCAATCCCTTCCTGTCACCTTTTCCGCTGTCTGTCAAGCACAAGGCGAGGAACTTTGTTTTACTACACCCTGTCATGACACGTTCTGTATCACCATAGCCAAGAAACAAAGGAACCAGCTGACGTGCACTGAAACCTTTGGAAGATGGAGTCAATACATTTTTCCAGCTGTGCTTGGTGACACAGACTTCTAATCTCAGGAGACTGAAGCAGGACGCAAATTCAAGGTCTTCTGGGCTTGATAAAAGTTTAGGGATAGTTCTGGCCACTCACTAAGATCCGATCTCAGAACAAAAAGGACTGTGGACGCAGCCCAGTCATGTTGATTGCTGTCCATGCACGAGGTCCTCAGTGCAGCTCTCATCACAGTAAAACAAGTTAATCAATGAGTAAGCCTTCTCTTTTACGTTGCCTCAAGTATCTGTTACAGGGACAAAACCCTGGCCAGGGGCTGGAGAGATGGCTCAGTGGCTAAGAGCATTGACTGTCCTTCCAGAGGACCTGAGTTCAAATCCCAGTGACTACATGGTGGCTCACAACCATCTGTAATGAGATCTGGCCTGCAGGCACACATGGAGGCAGAATGTTGTATACATAATAAATAAATAAATCTTTAAAAACAAAGCAAAAAACAAAACCCTGGTCAGCACGTGCATAGGACCGCCCTAGAGTACACTCTGCTCCTCTGTCGGGTATATTTAAACATGTCAGATGAGGATCAAGGAGTGAAGGGTTTTCTCAGTCCAATTCATTTTCCTAATCTTCCCAAGATGTGAGCCCCTAATAAATTTCTCGTATCCCTCATTCTGTACCACGTCCACTAACTGGAGGACACACATGGTCTGAGAAAGCAGGCTGTAGGGCATTTGGAAATGGTTTACCTGCTGTCCCATTGGCAATGAGGAGCCTCGCTAGGTATCATGGGAATGCCTTGGATAAGGAGGCAGCTTGTCAGTGAGACTTTTGCTGGCAATGCATGGAGGCGTGATGTCCGGTGCAATGATGTGGGCGTTAAGGAAAAGAGTGTGTTTGTGGAGTATAGGAGAATAAACACCCAGTGAGCGTGACCGTGAAAAGTCAATAAAATGTTGATCCTGGTGTGGTCTGGTGTCACTTTGGTAGTTGGTCGGCACCTGGTCTTTCACAGTAAGAGCAAAGGAAAAGCAACACCAGAGCACAGACTCAGTCGTTGGAGCCACTGAAATCCAGCAATGATTGAGTCTCGGTTGAACAGGCTTCCCACAACTAGGCCATGCCCCTAACTTGTGGACAAGTGCCCGGGACTGTGAGGTGGGCACCAATGAATGTTCTGCGGTTGTCCTGACTTTTCTGAAGTAACTTCAGAGCATCCAAAGGAAGCTCCTGCCTGCCTAAGAAGAGGCAGCACTCCCCAGTGTTCATGAAGATACTGTAGAGGTCTCCCTCGAAGGGTAATAACGTTCTCTTTGCTGTCTGTCTTTATCCTTTCTCCTGGTTGCTATGAGGGGCAAGATACTCCCTAGCCCACTAGTAAATAAAATCTACAGAGGACTGCTGACTGGGACTTAACTCCCAAGCCCCAACAGACCAAGTCAAACTGAAGTCAGCCACACCATTGTTCCACATCCCCAGCAAAACGCGAGGTGTTTCTTTGACCTGAGAAACTGGGAGACAAATGTGATAATCAAGAAATTTCATAAGGATCAAGGCAATTAAGTCAGTAAATGTCTCACCAAGACATTTAATAATCAAACAGATAGAGATAAGAGATAAATAAAAACTCCTTAAAACATCCAGAGGAAAGACCCAGTTTTACATAGTGCACCCAAGAGAAACCCAGTCACAAACCAAGGGAGAGACATCCTGAAAACTCCAAGGAGAAAAAGAGAAAGGTAGACTGACTGGCTCACCAATAACCTGATTACCTATGCCTCAGGAAGCTGGCTGTCAAAAATAAAGGCAATGCTATGGTATGCAAATTACTGGCAATAAAGTTGCTTTTGTTTTAAAAATATTGGTTAGGCAGAGGCTCAGCTCAGTTGATAGATTGCTTGCCTGGCACTTGCAAGAAAGTTTTTAATTTCTGACTCACAGTTCCAGAGCTATAGAGTCCATGACTATCATGGTGGAGAGCATGGCAGCAGGCAGGACTGGGGACCGGAGAAGCAGCTTAGGAGCTTATCTCTGACCCACCATGAGGCAGAGAAAAAGCCCACGCCTCTTAATCCTTCCCAAACAACTCCACCAAGCGGGACCAAGTGTTCGAACATATGAGCCTGTGGCGGCAATTCTCACTGAAACCATCATGGAGCCCTCAGTGATGCCAGCTTCTGCGGAGGAAAATTTCCAGGCTGTGTCAAGGCAAGAGGGCAGCAATGAAGGGAAATAGATAATGTGAATTCTTTAACAAATAATACTTTATTTAATATATCTAATTATTATTATTATTATTATTATTATTATTATTATAAAATTATTTATTATTCAATAAATAGTACTCTTCCAAAGTTTAGTTGAAATGGAAAATAGAGAGAACCCAGGCCAGGTGAAAAGATTTGTAAAACAACTAACCTAAAACAAACAACCACTCAGTTCGACGCATAGAAGGCAAGTAACCTCACTGTTTTAATTAGTAAGGAGTTAAAGAAAGCACTTAAAAGGGCACTCAGAACTTTAGTCACTGAAAAATATTTCACATTGTATCTGCAATGAGATACCACTTCCCAGCTGTCCGTTGGTCCAGATTAGAGATTTGCTATGTTAAGTGCTGGCGGGGAGGTGAGGCAACATGAAATCTCTCGCATCGCAGCGGGAACACTAAATGGTACAGCCACTTTGGAGAGCAGATTGGCAGTCTCTTAACAAATAAAGCATTTGTTCCCCTAAAATCCAACAATCCTACACCTACATATTTATCCAAAAGAAATAAAAACATATGTCCACTCAACGGCTTGTACTTGAGTGTTCAACGCATTTTCACTCGTGATAGCCTAAACTGGATACCCAAACGGCCATCAGTTGGTGGGAAGTTAAACAAATCAAAGATATTCGGGGCAATGCAGTTCAGCAATAAAAATAACACCGATGGCCAGGCATGGTGGTGCACGCCTTAAATCCAAGTACTCAGAAGGAAAGGCAAGCTGCTTTCTGTGGGTTCAATACCAGCCTGATTCACATAGCAAGTTCCAGGCTTGCCAGGGCTACATGGTGAGATTCTGTCGTCTCTCCCCACCCCCCAAATGCTGATGCATGCAGCAGCAAATGTGTTGTTGTTCCCAGCTCTGCAGTCACCTGAGGACTTTCAGGGGGCCCAAGGTTCACTAGGCATTACCCACTTCCAAGCTCACTGGAAGAGGGGGACAGGATTTAGGTCCCATATCTGGAGACTGGGGCCTATGTTCCTCCTGGCTATGAACATGTCAAAGCCGCCCTCACTTCCTGCTCTGCCATCTGCCAGCTTGCAATGGGCAGGGGTCTTTATCAAAGAATGGAAACACCAGAGATGCCTGTAAGATTTAAGCCACTGGCTTTTATGACCAAGACTGATGACTCCTTATTACCCTAGGGATATCACACTTCGCTGGCTCCAGATCACACAACCAGAAATGGGTTCTAAGAACCAGACGTAGAATAATTGGAAGCAACTACCTATACCAGTTTTATTCTATGTGACTCCATTTAAAAATTATGAAAAAAAAAATGACAGAAATCCTATTTTAAGTGTTTTTGTTAGATATGGTCCTGCTTTGTAAACTAGATGGCCCGAAACATGCTAATGTAGGTTTGTCTTGAACTGGACTGCCTCAGTCTCCTGAGTGCTAGGATTGCAGGTATTCGCCACCATGCCCAGCTAGTAAACCTTTGATTTTTCTGACA